ATGTCTTTGAGAAATCTTTGCGTGGTAGCGCTGGCGACATCGTCAAAGTTAGTGCCACCCATGACCGTCAGCTCTCGCTTCTTCTCCTTCGCACCGGACTCGGCAGCAGCTTCAGACCGTCTCTCCTCCGTAAGAAGAAATTCTTTAAAAGACTTTAGTATCATAGTCTCGAGCATAGGAGACTCTTCTTGGAAAACTTGTTGGAAAGCTGTGTAGACTTTGGCCAAGACGTAATTTCTCGGCCAGGACTGGCACACTAGGCCAATCGCCTCCAGGGATGCCTTGCGTGCCTCTAATGGTTGTGAAGGCGAGGCAAATGGAATTAGCACATCCACAATTAGTCGAGGGACAGAATCTCCCTGCCACTTGGGGAACCGGGCTTTGAACACTTGCATCTGTTGATCCAGATCGCAATGCTTGCCAACGCTGCCAACAATGATGGCGTAGGCGCAGAGATGATTGATCCTCTTGCTGTCCAGTACCGCAGCTCCCAATCCCAGCTTTTGAATGCCCAATAGACCTGACGCGACCAAATTGGCCAAAGGTGCAAAATTGTTTAGTAAATCACAAGTTACTTTGGTGCACGCAATGAGGTCATCCAGAGCGCCGCGGGAAGAGATTTTTCCGACGCCCTTCAAGAGTTGGAGACGAATTTCGTTCAAAAACTCGGAATTGACCGTGGGCAGCTCAGGAAGCACACGTTTGTAAATAACGGTGACGGCTCGGAATGCCGCCAACTCATCGACACCACTAAACGTTGCAAGATGGGGCTTAAGGAGCCTGATCTGTTCAAGGTTAAACAATTTGGGATCCGCCTTGGCAAAAATTGTGAGCACCTGCAGAGCATCGCGGCCTGCTGGGCGTCCTTCTTCTGATTCTCCACTGTCAACCAGCGCAAACATGCTGTTCACGAGGTGAGAACAGACTGTGAATGGGCCATCCAGGGATTTATCTTTAGGTCGAAGGATAGACTGGAATACCTTGTCGAGGATTTCTGTGACATTGCCTGTCTTTACAGTCTGGATAATCAGGGCCACATGCTCGGTTAGAGAGGTCTGGAATGCAGCGCTGTTATCGGCGCCGTAGAATGGCGCGAACCAAACTTCCTCAATCATCTGACGGGCAAGATCACGGACGCTATCATCGGGATCTTGTACGCGTCGAAGTAAGCCATTAGCTATGGCGCTGCGGATTGCGTCGTCGTGATTGCGAAGATAAATGTCGCGTGCAAGTTTCATGGCTCGCTTCCTGACGCCAACACCAGCGTCTTGGAAGCGGTCAATGATCTTGGGCGTCAACGGTGATTCCAGAGAGGGCCTCAGTGTGATGCAGCTTCCTATAAGACCCAGGGCGGAATCCCTCACTTGCGTGGACGAGTCGCTAGAGCAATCCAATATGAGTTGAATCACCATGGAGTCACCATCCAAAATAGAAGGGTCTGTTTCGAGGACTTGAGTAATACTCTTTAGACTTTTGCTGCGAACTGTTGCTTGGTCACTAGCCATGGAGCCAAGAAGAATGTTGACAATCTTGCTGAATGACTCAAACAAAGGGGAGCGTAGCAGAATGATTGAGTATGAGAGCTTGGCTTGAACCGAGCTCACGGCCTTGAAAGTGTACTCATTAGACAACCAACGTCGATCTTGCATCATCATTCGCAACCTGTATGCAAGGCGTCCGAGCTCCCAGTCTCTCTCATCTTCACTGTCTTGAATATCATCGTAACCGGTATGAAGCCGAGTGGCCCAGTCTGTGATGAGGAAGGAGACAGCACTGAAAAGGTATGGGTCGTCGGATAGACGGGCTTGGAGAAACTCCAGTGTAGCTCGGTAGGGCCCGTCCCAAGCAACAATGCTCTCAAATGAGCTCTTCTGTTCAAGAGCGTGGCATGCCAGCGCCGCTAGATACTGCGAGAGACCATCGACGTCTGTAGTTTCGAACGTGTTGGCAGTCCGCTTGACATGTGACCGGAGACGAGATATCGCTGCGCTCATAGTACCCAGCAACTCAAGAGCCATGTTCTTCGCGGGAGCGGGGGTTTTGGGTGCTTCGAACAGTTGTACCATCATAAGCATGAGAAGGCGTAGTAGCAGTTCGGCGGATGGCCAGTCTGGAGAGTCAAGGCATGTCGTGAAGTCCTCAACAAAGAGATCCAAAAGATGGCGGTATGGCGTGTCGCCCGACTTGGTTGATCCGATGGCGCGTTTCACAATAAAGTTGACGATATAAGAAGCGTTCCGACCAGCTCCTTCACTGAGAGGACCGGCAGCTGCCTCAAGCTCCTGGATAGCAACAGCATGCTGCTGCGCACCTTGGTCATCACTGCTGATGGACGGTATCATTTGATTCTTTTTCTGCCTCGCGCGCCCCAATTCTCCATCGCTTTCCTCGTCTTCATCCATTTTGTCTCCTTTACCGTTGATGGCCTGGAGCACTGCAGCGCGGCCACTTTCATTTTCTTCAACCATGCCAGAGCTGGCCTGAACCAACCGCATGAGAAGCGCGGACACGGGTTGGATATTCCCGCCTTCTGAAAGTTTGAAGTGCCGTGAACTCTGCTTCCCGACAGGAAGCTTCTCCAAAGACGTGAGAATATCATCAATGATACCTTGTCGCTGCTCGGGCTTGATCATAAAGATTTGGCAGAGCATGTCCATAGCAACGCTGCGCATACCATCAAATCGCTGCACTCCGACTGCCGAATCCTTTTCAAAATAGGCGTTTTCAACGAAGATGAGCTTGGAGGCTGTGAACTCCAACGTGTTGAAGACCATTTCTGAGAGCTCTACCTTGGTAACCAGTTCCGCAAGTGAGGCGAACAGCTTTTGGCAGCTAAGAAAAGTAGACGACACGGCTTTTTTATGCTTCAAAACCATTTTGAATAAATTGGCAGATGATCCTGAGTTCCGCAGCTCCACAAGGGGGACGATGATGTCTTCGGTAACGTTTTTGAAAATAGCGACGCATCTGCTGATGACATTCTCTGAGTAGAGCTGCCTATCTTCTCGGCCTCCGGACAGGATTCGCAGGCAGGTACGTGCAGCCTTCATCCCCAGCTCAACTTCTGGCAGCTGCTGAACCCATGATTCCATGGCAGCTTCATCCCAACTGTCGTCAACACGGATATCCAAGTCCTCAGCAAGCTTCATGCTGGCATCGCTCAGCTTCACAAGTTGAAGGAGGCCCTCCACAGGAACTCTATTGAAACACTTAAGGGCAATAGCCTTCTGGACGGCACTCTGGATTTTTTGATGTGTTGCGCTATTCATGATAATTTGGTTGTCAGAGGTCAGTGTCACGACGTGGTCATATCCCGAGTCCATTCCAAGAGCACGCCCGACCGCGGAGAAGACACTGCGCATGAGCAGCTCAAGTGCTTCGAGGGCAGTGTCAGCCCGTTGTTGCTGGTCGAGACTGGCGCTGCTAACAAGACCTTGGGCACTAGCTGCTAGATGCTGTGCTGTTTTGCGAACGGATAGGTTCTCCGGGGCAGATAGTAGATCTGCAACCTCGAGATACTCGTCTTTTTTGATGTTAAAAGATGGAAGCTCTACCCGGATCGAGGCAGAGTTTTGGTAGTTGGCATCAGAAGTTGTTGAGCCGGCATGGAGCGAGTCTTCTGGTGTCACAGGCAATGTCAAGGGAGGCTGTCTATTCGGCGCTTCAGGAGAACCTGGAACAGGATAGGAAGATCCAGTAGGGTCAACATACGCTGACGGATCAAAGTCTCTTCTTGAGGATATCAGCACCTCTATCCTTGACTGGTGTTGCCTTGGTGCCTTGTAATTGTCTGTGGCTGCTGGCGGGGTATCAATGACGCCAGACGATATCTCGTCCTTTGGAAATATCCGGCTTTTGTCGCCGTTGATGCTAACACTTTGAGGACTCGCAAGGTTTGGCTTGGTGGCTTTGAAATATCCGCCGACTTTCTCGTATACCGCTCGCGCAATGGGGGATAGCCCATGTGAGAGACTACCAGGTCGAGAAGTCGCTTGCCCTGTGATGATGGACTTGAAGTTGCTATATATTCGTCAGCAGAGACACTCAGGGACGAAATGAAGGGCCAGTATATCTTGTCTTACTAGTGTGTCCTCTGCGAAGGTTTTATCTCGTGCAGTACCAGGTCAACTGCCTGCTTCGTATTCCGTGGCAAGTGAGGCTGCCCAATCGCCTCTTTGTTCAGTCGGTTGAAGTCGCTTTGGGGAAAGAGATCGGAAACGGATGGGGCCGGTGAGCCAAATCCTATGTTGGGATCGGGGATGATTTCTAGAGTAGCATCAGTAACAGGTGAAGATGGCTGAAAATCTCGAGCTGAGACGGGATGGCAGCTCACCGGAAACGAAGGGCACAGTCGAGGTCTGGGGAGAGTAAGGAAGTGATTCTTGCAGCGTGAACGGTCGCGAGATTGCGGTTTGCGAATCAGCAGGGCCACTATGGTGGGCATTGAGCCCGTTCTCAGGGTTCTCCATATTGTGTGGTTGCATGCTGTTTGCCAGAATCGTGAGGCTCGTCGACTCTTCAAAGACGCATCGTCGACGCAGGAGCTACAGGCGCAGCAGGAGCTCCCCAGCGTGTCATGGAGGAAGCGGCGACTTTTAAGGCGGTAAAGAGGGGGAAGCAGCGCACAAAAAAGAGCGTGGTGGCGCCGAATGCAAGGCCTGGTCGAGTTAGCTGCGCATTCGCAGAAACCAGCGTGTCTGCAGTGCGTGCCCAAGTGCTGCGTATTGGGTATTGTTTCCTGAATCTCGAATCACGCGCATCGCAGCCTGGGGGAATCGACAGCCTCGCTGGACCAATCTCCAATGTCGAAAAGAAGCCGATGGCCCGTGCGCCCCAACGCTGGGCCAGTCAGAGGCGCTTCCGGAAGCGGTACCTTGCCTTATCAGTTTTTCCGGATTATCAACCCTGCAAGATCTTTTGCCAGTTGTCTTGCATGCCAATTTTTGTACAGCTGTTCCCACGCGATCCCTCCATTACACACGTAGAATTCGTCATAGTTGCTGCGCTGGCATATTAGACGGGAGAAAATTTTTAAGCAAAAATGGCTGCCATTGGATCCATGGTGTTCTGCACCGACTGCGGAAACCTGCTGCCGGCGACAAAGGGAACCGAGCAGAATGTGCTTAGCTGCGAGTGCTGTAGCGCCGAAAATAAAGGTTTGGCCCAATTAGAAATCTGAGCAAAAGGTGCTTTGGGAGGAGAGAAAGTTTTAACGATGTCGCTCTAGATACCGGCGCAAAGGTCATTGTGACCAAGTCAAAGCCGTCTGATTTCCCTTCATTTTTGCGCCAAAAGCTCCAGTCCAGCGTGCAGGCCGTTGAGCGCCATACCCTCAACACCGAGAGCTCCGTTCGCGAACGATGCCCAAACTGCGGCCGAGAAGAAGTCAAGTACACAACGGTGCAACTGCGAAGTGCCGACGAAGGCTCAACCGTCATTTACAATTGCGAATGCGGATACAGCTGGCATGAGAACAATTAAAAGCTCTATTTTTTTTGCATTTGGAAAGATCTATAACTTGTAATATGGACACGAAAAATTCTTACTCTCTTCTATGCTGAGGCGCCGGCCACCTCAGGAATCAAAGCATATTCCGTCTCACCACCTCTCTCATACTCGGCCATATCTAATGCGACAATGACACTCTCCCGAACAACCTGCTCCTTGTCTTGGAGGAATCGCTTCAAGATGTCTTCGACACCCTCTTCATCTCCAAGGCTACCCAGAGCCTCGGCAGCTTCGTGGCGCACCATGCTGGCCTCTTCCAGATTGCTTAGAGCCTCTGTCAGGGCAGGGATAGATGCGGGATGTGAAAGCTGGCCAAAGACGAAGGCAATCTCGTGACGGAACAGTGCGGAGGAGTCGGCGAATCCCTTGGCAAGGGCGTGGACGGCGGGAACGGCAGTTGGGCAGTCTGGAGGAGAAGCAAGGTCGCGGAGGGCAAACATGGCGCGGTATCGCATGAAGAGGGGCTGCTTGAGATCCATGAGCACTCTACCAAGCTCGTCAACTGACTTTTCGGACTCGGGCATGGGCGGCGCCGGGTCGATTGAAGCAAAATCACTAGGATATGTCGTTAGAGAAATTGAAGACACCAAGAGAATTCAAGCCAAGCTACCTTTGGCGCAGCTTTTCCTGCTTCCTTGCCTCGGAGTTCTCCCATTCAATGCGATCAATTGCAATCTCGCACGTCTCCTTGACGACGACTTCTTCGTCGGCACGATCTCTGAATTCCCGAAGTATGTCCAGGCTTGTAGCATTGCCCAGAGCTCCAAGAGCCTCGGCGGCCTCGTGTCTGCACATGGGATCCTCCTTCAGGTCTGACAGGACGTCGCGTAGAGGGGCAATGGCCGCATCGTTGCCGGTCTGGCCAAGGCAGTATGCGAGCTCGTGTTTCAGTAGAGCCGACGGGGATGCAAAGGCAGCGGCGATGGCTTCGATAGCTGGAAGAGTAGACTCGGGGTCGGTTTGGGCGACATGCTTGAGGGAGAAGAGAGCGCGGAATCGGACGGGCAGAGGAGTTTCCTCAGAGCAGAGGCTCTGCCTCAGGCTTGCGACAGTAGCAGTAGACATGATGAAATACAAATTCTATAACATGAGGGTATCTCGAACAATGACAGGTTTGTACGCTCTCAAACCGAGATGCAATGCAGCCTCTATCAAAAACTTTTAGTGGGGTTGTGCCACCGTAGTGGGGTGACGTCTCGGAGTCTCTTATCGGAGACTGTCCATCAGATCCCGAGATGCATGCGACGAGACTTAGCTGCCACCTTTATTATTGGATCTAAAACAATTATTCAACATTTAAAAGTGGGTCTGGTTCTATGGTCTAACGGTCATGACTGCGGATTCTGATTCCGCCAGCGAGGGTTCGACTCCCTCTAGAACCTATTTTTTGCTTTTTGTCCTTGTAGATTGAAGTTTTGATTGAATGAAGCATATGGTGTTGATGTTGTTTAGCTAGACCCGAATGGTGGAAGGACCCTGAAAAGTGAACCGCACCTGCCTGTACATGCGCATGCCATGAATAGGAAAGACCCTAGAAAGTGCACCGCACCTGCCTGTCGCTCCTGCCATCGCACTCTTTCCATGACTTGCATGTGATCTGGCTTCAACCAGAAGAGCCTACTCCTTGGATGAAATGCATAATCTTCAACTTGATCCAGGCACATATCCGAGTACAAAAGTCTATCCAATGGACCATTGTAATAGGCGGCTGTTCAATGGTTGATCCAACCGCCAAGGTCCGCGATGAAACGGAGAAAGTTCTCAAACAATCAGCACATATTTCTCAACTTCACACACCACAGCGACGCTGGAGTTATCTGGTACTCTAGTTATAGCGTAGGCTACTGCTGCTATAATTTCTACTGCTGCTATAATTTCTACCGCTGCTACAATTTCTACTGCTGCTACAATTTCTACTGCTGCTATAATTTCTACCGCTGCTACAATTTCTACTGCTGCTACAATTTCTACTGCTGCTACAATTGCTACCGCTGCTACAATTGCTACTGCTGCTACATCCTCTAGCCTCGCAATACCCAACCAGCATGCAAGTGCTCCGCGGCTTCAATAGCGTGCAATGTGATTTTAGGCCTCCCTTGTATAGAAAACGTTTGATCTTGGACTTGATCCAGGCACATGTATCATCGTAAGAGAGCGATGTTCAATTCTCGATAGCACTGCTTCCAGCGGGGTTCGGTGCTCGCTTACCCTACAATTTTCGCTAGGACCAAAAATCCACGACTTGTTTACACCTGCAATAAACATAGATGAATATAGTGAAGAATGTTATGTTCGACACCTCTTCGTATTGCGTAAAGTCTATAGGATCGCATGCGCCTTTGTCGCATTCATGTTGCGGGTGGTATTCTGTATTCGATCTACTGCCCCAAAGCGATGTCCCGATCTCGGCAGCTTGGATTACCAAGTCTAGCCTACCACTGATATAAGTCGCATTATTAAGCTTCAACCTTTCACCAACTTCTTCAAATTCCCAACTCAAGAGCCAACATCGCATCTGCACCTCAATACTAGACTGCCTCGTACCTATAGGCGACAAAAAATTAATCGCTGCTAGAGAAAGAAAAAGAAGAAAAAGAGCACCACATCCTTTGATCCCCAAGGAGGCACTGCCGCCACTCTACCAAGTCTTCCGCTCAGACAGTCGCCGCAAAGATGGCCCCATCACTAGAGGAGCCAGAGGCTGTCGCCGACGTCTTCGCCAATCCCCTCAAGCAGAAGCCGCAGCTCGTCGCCCCGGAGCCAGAGCACTGCCCAGGCCCAGAATCTGAGCGCGCCGGCACGGCTTCGTCATGCGATGGCTGTCCCAACCAGGCCATCTGCGCATCCGCCCCCAAGGGCCCAGACCCAGACATCCCCATCATCACGGAGCGGCTGCAGCACGTCAAGCACAAGATCCTGGTGCTGAGCGGCAAAGGCGGCGTGGGCAAGAGCACATTCACCAACCTGCTCGCGCACGCCTTTTCGACGAACCCAGACAGCACGGTGGGCGTCATGGACGCAGACATTACGGGGCCCAGCACGGCCAAGATGCTGGGCGTGGAGAACGAGACGATTCACGTGAGCGCAACGGGCATGTCGCCTGTGTGGGTGACGGAGAACCTGGCGGTGATGTCGATACAGTTTATGCTTCCGGATAGGGACGCCGCGATCATCTGGCGAGGGCCGAAGAAGAATGGGCTGATAAAGCAGTTTTTGAAGGACGTGGAATGGGGCGACTTGGACTTCCTGCTGGTGGACACGCCTCCCGGCACGAGCGACGAGCATCTAAGCGTAAACTCATTCCTGAAAGAGAGCGGCATCGATGGCGCGGTGGTGGTAACGACGCCACAGGAAGTCGCTCTTCTCGACGTGCGCAAGGAGATTGACTTTTGCCGCAAGGCCGGCATCAAGATCCTGGGTCTGGCGGAGAACATGAGCGCCTTTGTGTGCCCCAACTGCAAGGGCGAGAGCCAGATCTTCAAGGCCAGCACGGGCGGCGGCAGGGCGCTCGCGGACGAGATGGACATTCCGTTTTTGGGATCGGTGCCTCTGGACCCGAGGATACGGATGGCATGTGACTATGGTGAGAGCTTCTTCGACTCGTTCCCCGATAGCCCGGCTTGCATTGCCTTTAAGCAGGTGGTGAGGAACTTGGGCCGGCAGCTGGGGCTGGATGAGAAGACGGTGCTGCCGGACGAGTAGAAATGGGAAACACGTTTTTGCATCATATCGGGGGGGAAACAAAGAAACAACTGGATGAATAAATGGGCGGGCAATTAGTCAACTTTTGGCATAGCGAACATGTTATTTCTTTTATTATTATTTCTATCCGCTCAACTGCTTTGGAATATCTTCCAGATCCTCTGCAGACTCTATATCGATAACCTTGTTCACCTCGGCCGTGTTGCGTATCAGCTCTTTTGCGCCGGCGTAGAGCATCCTTGTTGCGGCATTGCAGTTGATGGGGAGGTAGTAGATCATGGTGTAAGGCACGGATAGCCGTCCATCGGGCTGCATGGCGAATCATCCACATGTTAGACTATATGTTTATGTATAGGTATAGTATATAGGAAGGGAGGGAATAATCGGCTCACCATCGTCAAGGGATAGCTGAGGAAGATGAATCGAGGGGTGCTGTCGGGGAGGTCGTCGGCTATCTCGTCGAGGGAGGTGTATACAGTCTTGTCATCGTCTTGGCGGATTTCGTGAGTGTTTTTATCAATCAAATCTGTCCCATGATTGGCAGTTAGCATCTGAGTAGCAATGTGTATAGATGTAGATACACGTATCAACGACAGCATGTATCCCAGCCCTGAACCGTCCCGCCAGCACTTACAAATCACTGCCTGAGGTTTGCTGGCCCGAGATGTCGTCAAGCGGAACTTGAGCAGATGAGACTTGGTCTCGCCGGAGATCTGGTAGAGCCTGGATTCGGAAGCCTTTGGGATGCTCGAGTTAGTGGCGGAGGGGCATCTCGGCGGGGGACGATGCCGCTGCGAGGGGATCGTACCATGTTGATAGTTTGTGTGAGGCTGCCACTGTAGAGGGCACAAGGCTGAAGAAGGATGCTCTGAAGAAGCAATCGCAGCGTAGGCCAGACCCCTCGATTCCGAGATAGCGAGAGACTTGCGGTTGTGGATTGCTCTGCCGGCCTTTGAAGCGGCGTCAACTCGTCATTTGATCCCTCCACTTTAGCTTGAGCTGCAAGAGCTGCCCCGCTATATTCAACTGCTAAGCTGTCTCTGCTAGGCCCGTCCAGCGGGAATACAGCAACTGAACTCTTCCCCACATAAACGCACCATAGTCAAACCAAATCGCAGCGGACTCCAGCCTTGCCCGTGCAAAGGGCCGTCACGGGCCGGTCATTCATTGATTCACTCTCGAGCGCCAGCAGCTCGGGCCTGACCCTACAAATCTTGAAATATCTTTTACTTGATTTTTTCTTCAGTCTCATCCTTCCGCCGCGCCTAATTGAAACGATTCTGAACAGCAATAAATAGGACAACAAGGCCATCTGCGCTGGTTTTCTTGCTGCATAAAGATCCCGTCTCCACCGTTTCTTCACCCATGTTTGCGCGGCTATCTCACGCCGCAAGACATCGCTTACCCATCGCCTCATCCTCCTCTTTCATCACCCAATCTCTCGCTCGCCCAACCGTCTTCGCCTTGAAAATGTCAGCGACCGGTGACCGGACGATTAAGACGGCGGCATGCCTGATTATTGGCGATGAAGTGCTGGGCGGAAAGGTATGACTCCAAAATACGTCTCCGGCGTTGAGCCGTTTATGTATCATGACCTGTGCATTTTCGAAGATGAGACTAATGGCTTCCTCTTAAAACAGACAGTTGATGTTAGTATACTGGATCCTGCAACGTTGCAGGCAATATATAGACGAGAAAAGGGGACTTGCGAGTTAACTGTTTCAACTGATAGACCAACTCGGCGTATCTGGCAAAATGGTGTTTTTCACTCGGAATCGTGAGTATTCACCTTGGCAAACTAGCCATCGTTCTTGATAGACGATGCCTGAAATGTTCTGACACTTTTGCGTTGCGGCAGAACTTGAAACGCGTCGAGGTCATCGAAGACGACGAGAGTGAAATCATGGAAGCCGTGAGCCGAATGAGCAACCGCTATGACTTTATCGTTACCAGGTGAGAGCTTCAAGCAACTAAATCTCTTGAGATACTTTCATCAGACAGATACTAACCATCTCTATAGCGGAGGCATCGGCCCAACGTAAGATCGCTGAACACCTCATCCCTCTTCTCCCTGAATCTCACAATAACCTCTTCACTACCGCAGACACGACGACATCACCTACTCATCCATTGCCAAGGCCTTTGGACTCCCCCTCAAGCTCCACCAAGAGACCTTTGAGAAGATGAAGAAGCTGTCAAAGCCAAATCCGAAGCAGCCGAACTTTGACTGGAACGTCGACTCCCCGGCTCTCAGGGCGAGGCTCCGCATGGTCGAGCTCCCAACAGACGAATCGCGCGACCTCGGGGAGCAAGTCGTCTTCCCGCAAGAAGACCTCTGGGTTCCCGTTGCGGTCGTCAACCGGAATGTGCACATCCTTCCCGGAGTACCGCTGCTCTGTAAGTGATGACAGATTGGGACTGACTTTTCTACACGTTTTTTCTCGTCTAGGAGTAATAGTACTGACAGGAGCTTTTCCTTTTTGCGACTTTTCATAGTCCAGAAACTGTTGGATGGATTGAAGCCCCACGTCCTCCCCAGACTAGTCGATCCCGAAGGCAAAGGAATCCATCGCATCATGATATCCACGCCGCTGCCGGAGAGTTCGGTCGCGGAATACCTCACCACGTTGGCGGCTAGAGTTGAGCCTCACGGCGTCAAAGTAGGAAGCTACCCGCGATGGGGCAGGAAACGAAATACAGTTACATTGGTTGGAAGGTATTTAATACTAAAAAACGTCTCCTTTTCTCCTCTACGAGTGACACTCTGCTTGTTGGATCTTATATGGCTAACGGCATACTGCGTAGGGACCAAGCCTATCTCGAAAGCCTTGTGGCCGAGGCCGAAGAGGCAGTTCAGGGCAAGCGAGTTTCAAAAGAGGATGAGCTGGACGAGCCTGCCGACAAGACAGAGAAGAAGTTGTAAAGAAGACACAGCCGTTCCATGTATGATGACATTACATATCAACTCAGATACTGAACATATCAATGACAGTTTCCAACAAAACGACAAACCAAATCATCTGCGTTGTGTTCTACGTCCTTCATCCCCTTCTCGCTTCTTAACTACTGGTTCAAGACTGGTTTCCCAAAGCCATATATACCTGACCCCTATCATCTTGTTTTGCGGAGGCGAGCCTCTCGTCCCTCAAGCCCGGACCATACCGCCAAAAAAGCAAGCTATCCCCATCCCGTATTCAATGTCTCACCCAGTCCCGTGACGGAAAGCAAGGATTTGTTCCTAACTGTGGACTGTTCTCATGGAGTTAAGAAACAAAAAAAAAAAAAAAAAAAACCCTTGTAGATCGGGGGAAACCCCAGCAAGAACTCTGCTCTGTGCGCAAAAACGGATGCAAGACATTGCTCATTCGGAGAGGTGATGCCTAGTCCCCTCGTGATGTTAGTGGATTTTTTTTTTGGATGGGATGGGTAGCTCGAACCAAGAGTTCGTTGGCCTGGCGCTGTTTTAAGCTCGTGCTATCTTCTCCACGATCAGCATCAGCCCCAGAAGACTATGCGGGTGTTGGAACAGTTGACACTACTGTAGTGGTAGTATTTGGAAATCGCAGCTGAGGTCTTGGGGGTAGATAACAAGTAGCTAGGTACGTTTCAGTTTCAGGCCAAGGTCAAATGCAGTACATATCCGCAACTGGGAACCATCTATCCGCCCTCTTCGACATTTCACCTACTACACCCTTTTCGTATTAACCGTACATGTCAGAGAAAGATTAAACGAGACCAATTGCCGGAAGAAATCTTCCAGAAACATCCTACTACTAGCCACAAATAATCCCCTTGAGATCCTGCAAGCTACTAGCTCTTTATACTTTCTCTAATCCTCCGTCAAAGAAGCTTCAGCTCCAAGAGAGCCCCAACACCGCTGATCATTTCATTCCCCCCACTTGGCTCGACCTTGAACTGGTAACCACAAACGCCCATGAACCTGCTAGGAAACGACTAGTGTAAGCAGGCCCTTTATGAAGCCCAGAGTAGCATCTCGTCAGCTTTCCAGTAGAAATGGCAGCTGCCTAGATTAGAATCTGACAGTCTCCTTTGGGGGGCTAGATAATACGGGATCGAGCCAAAGTGGAAAGGGGAAAAAAAAAAATTCGACGAGGGGGGGACGGGAGGATTGAAGCAACACGGGCGAGCATGTATATGTCGTTAACATGCTAGTACTGATATTTACATGGATGCTGGCATCAAAGCCCCGTAGCTTGCCGATGCCAGTTTTTTTGAGGTCTTTTGTTGATCAAGTCCACGGCTGAGTTGGTGTTGCTGCCGGCGCTGTTCCTGTTCCTGGTCTTCCTTCTTCCAATGGCCTTGTTCTGCCTTTATTGGTGGATTGGAAGAGCCGCCTCAGGACAGCAGCATCATCACCAGTAATGGAAATGTAACACAATACAACGTCATCGTCAGACTGCAACGAGTCAAACAACTTGAATAATACCTGTATTATTCTGATAGATTTTTAATCATCGATATTCTTGCGGATTGATAGTCGGGCTAGGCAGCACTATTAAAACGGCTGGCCGACAAGGACAGAGATTCGGGTGCATCAAAGCTCAACAACACGCCATCAACTTTACGAATGACAATCTCAGCTTCCTTCTCCCAATCAGCGTAACATTACTCGTGCTCCCGTAATACAAGCTGATAGTGACGTCTTGAGTCGCAAAGATTGGCAACAAGCCGCCATGGTTTATAGTGCGATAGACGTACTTGTAGCATTTTGCCAAGCCTCAAAAGGGGGGAATTGGACCGGGAAATGAAAGAGAGTTTGGTGGGGACGAGACCGCGGGCTCTCTTACAGTATACTAGTATACATATACAGTAGTGTTTTTTTCCCTCTTCGTTTATTGTGGGCGGGTGGAGTGGAGTCCTTGCTGGCGTTGATGAATGTGGAGAGTATCATTCTAGAAGGCCGATAGAGTGGCACGAGATGGAGCTCTTGGGCTTGAGCTTCATTTCACTTGGGGCTTTGCTTTATTCTAGAAAGAGGCCCCGTTGCTTGGTCTTATTGATGCGAACGGGCGGGCTGAAATGAGGCGAAAACGACACGACGAGTGTGAAGAGTACGGCGAGGCTTTATGTCTGCCCTTGACCATGGGAGCGATTCGCCGAAAATGGGATCCATGCCAATATCAAAAGGAGCACGGACGGTAGATTTCGTATGAGACTCTATACATGGAGTAATCTGTGCAAATGGTAGTATCGTGTAAATCGTCCATATCAGTACTCATCGTGGTGTCCATGGCGATGAATTAGAATAGAGTAGCAGAGAAAAAGAGTGAAAGGGAAAAAAACCAAGGTATGCAGAGTTGTCTCGCCCGACATCAACGGCAACAATATAAGAGAGAGAGAGAGAGGAAAAATTGCTACCCCAGATACCGGGTCTGTGCAAATTGCTGATGACGTCCACGCCTCCATGGCGCCCAGGGGCCCGGTCGTATCAGAAAAAAACATCGGCATTATACTTGGCCATCTTCAGGGAAAAGTCGCGATCCACCTGCGACAACGATCGTTCGCTAGTAGAGCTAGCAGAAAAGAAGGTCCAGGGAATCGGCACCGGTCCGAAAAGGCCGCCGCAGCGCTACGACTTGTCTCTCGATTCGACGGCCAAAAGACTGGACCCGAGACAACGAGGGCGTGGCCGGTGGTGTTGCAGAAAGCGAAACCCGCCAGCGACGAGGCCTGACTCGCCAGCAGTGAGCGCGTGCGCGCGTCAATCCGCACCAGAGAGACCCAATCATGTGTAGCGGCCGTGAGGACTTCCGGTAAGTAGTACAGCTAGCTGCTGTGATGGTGGTGATGGGCCATCAGTCATGACGGACTGGACTGGATTGTAATACGAGTGCGTGCTTCTCGGCCCCAACGGCGACGTCGTGTCCACACACAGAGCACCGAGTCCCTCCCGCAATGCTTCGATGGGGGCCACGGTCAGCGGTACGGAGTAGCACTGGCCATGATGGTGTCGCCAGGCTGCTTGACGCCTCGACAAAGCCCCCGTCGAGGCGAGGCCAGGCAGCGGCTGCAATATGTATGAAATCGGGTGGCCCTCAGCACGACCTGCAGGTCGCCTTGCCGCCGTCCCAACACCTGCATGAGCTTGATTAAGCTGCGCCCAGGACTACGAATCGTGCTACTACCCTAGTATGTAGTTGCAGTAGCAATACTGCTCGTTGCTAAGAATACCCCCGATAGCCCGCGTCATTTCATAGGCTCAGCATGGCCGAATCGTTGCTGCAGCAGTCTGTAAGAGCCGGCGCGAGGCTGCATGATGATGCCATTGACTGTCGTTGGAGGATGGATTCATGACTCCCTACTGTATGTACGGTGTTTGCCTAGTCGGCGGTAATAGTAGAGCCGGGTATTGAGACGGCATCTTCTGAACAGGATTCAGACGCGAGGCCCCCAAAGATGCCCAAGGCTCTTGATGATAATGGCCAAACTCATCTGCTGGAGCACGGAGGAGACAAGACGGTGCCGGATTGCACCAGGCGGCTTTCGCAAATTCGGTGAATGTACAATGTCCAGAACGATCATGATCCCACACGGGTAGAGCAAGCCGGAGAACAGTTTGATTGGCACAGGGGTGGTTGAGGTGATGGCCCCCGCTGCATTTGTCGTGCTAATGAAGACAGACTTGTGCCATTCTGTAATGGTAGCCAACTGCAATGTGTGTCAGGGGCAGCGGAATAACGCATTGACCTTTGGAGAAATTTCAATCCATCAGCGGTATTAGTGCTCCACAGCAGCAGCAGTCCTATTCTGTTATGGCGCCATTGAGAAGCAAAGACCATCCTGACTTATCATATCATGGACAGGTTATCATTGCCATGACAAGGGTGGCCGCTTTTTTCTTTTCTTTTCTTCTTTTCAGCAGGCATAATGGAAAACTAATGATTTTAGGTATAGTAGTCGCCCCCCCTGGCCAATACACGTACTGTACACAGGTATACGACTATACGTCGTGAGACTGAAAGACTCGGCTCGAGTTGCCGCGACAAGAGACGGGCCGTCTGTCCTTTGGGGTCCTGTTTCTGGACATGGTCGATCGTTATACGCACGCAGAGTTACAAGTATGCCGTAGAAGTGGCAGTAATACCGTCATACCTGCCTACCTCAGCAGTGATGGCGGCGGTGCTACCTCATGCGGGTAGAAGAGTAGTATCACTCGTGTAGCTGTCCTCTGGTATTGCCCGTAGCGACACAGAGCACAAGGGCTTTCTGAATTGCCGGACCCAACCGACTGAGCCAAATCCAGGGGCCGGGTAGCGAGAAGCGACGCGATGGTAGACGAAGCGACACGACGTTGTGCTGGCAGTACGAGCCTTCGCCGAGTACTAGCAGTATTCGTGCAAGTGACAGCTGTAGCGATGCTACGGTGACGAGAAGCCACGTGAAATTGGACATTACCTACTCCTTTGCCTATCTCTGCTCGCCTCTCCTACCGCCTCTGTGTCTCTAGCGAGCGAGAGCTTGGCCAATCTTCAATTCAATGCTGAATGACGCCAATTAGGCGATGTACTGTAGCTTCGAGGTTAGTAGTACTACTACTACTGGCAATGCGAATACTACCTGTCATGCGCTTCGGCTTTAACGTCACGGCCTGACCTACCTGTTTGGGCTGCCACTGACGGAAATAAGTTGGCTGAGGTGGCATTAAGAACTGTGTGCGTTCCAAGACGGCGCCTAAATCTGAGATACGGAATGCTTCTTGTTGGTGTATTCGTGGAGTTGGAGGGTCCTTTTCTTCTCCGCCGATGTAGTGTGGTGGGAAGATGGCCGAGGGATGGGTCTAGCGTCGTGTTTGATGGATATTAAATCCCCAGATTAGCTGTTGTCCGGAAGATTTATAGCTGAAGCTCGTTGATGCCTCTATTCGAGTGGCCGCGCGGTACTGTAGCATCTCTGCCTGGGGTCTGGTATAATGCTTCAACCAGGATAGATGAAATTGAATCTTGTAGGATCCTAATGCCGCACTTTCGGTATGATTAAGAATAAAAAAAGGCAATAGAAAGAGGCGAAGATGTAAGCTATTACGAGCACGCCGCGATATGACACTGGGAAGCGAGGAGCTAATATCGATTGCTCGAATGACAAACGCAGAATGGAGTCGAGGCCGCTTCCCCCCCCACGAACTTGGACCGATTCGCAGACCGAGGCACGAGGGCCGCTTTCCTAGCGACGGGTCTCTGATGGAGACGGCGTGTAAGTTGGGCGGGCCATGAGAAGGCTGAAGGACCAGTGTCTATCATGATTGAGGAAACGTGCGAGCAAATAGGGCCGTGAAGAAGAAGCATTGAGAAACAGAGACGCGATGGAGCAAAACTATCAAAATCGAGAACTTGAGCCAGAATGGTTGACTGAAAGACACAAAGAAGGGGGTTACGCTAAGAGGCACAGATAGCACCTTGCCTCCACCTTGGGCGCGTATCTGTGCCTGTGCCAGTACTTGTAACTGTACCTGTATACGGCCTCAATGCTAACAGTTGAGCCATTGCTCCAGTGCTTCGATAAGGTTGTCTCCCATCTTTCAAATTTTTTTTACTTGCATGCAATATGGCGCGTGCCCTTGCATCCAATCCTGCGATGCCCACTGGCCCAACTACATATACATGTATGGAGAAGACGCACTCCGTACCTACGACATGCACGCTCTAGGGGGCTAGTTGCAGCGGCAGACGCGCAGGTATGGAGTACGGGCACAAGCACTAGCTGAGCTGATCTATTTCCGTCACGGTGATGTGATGTGATGGCAGAGCAGCGAGAAAGAGGCAAAAGATCAGTCACGGGCTGTCATTGTACAAACAGATGCTGCCACCATCAATATCATATCAGGGACTGGTAGCTAGGTATGTACTACTCGTACAAGTTAGTAGGTAACGTTCCGCTCCATGGACCGCGGTTGGACAAGACCAGCCAAGACAAGCCCGCTCGGAAAAGGGTCCTAGGCGTCGGTTTTTTTTCCCATCTGACAAGGGGGACAAGAAGGGATTTCGTCTTGGAAAGGGTCAAGGTGATTTAAATGGGGGAAGCAAGGCGACAAACCAACTGCGTGGACAGGATAGGTCGTCCGCTTCACACTCACGGTATGAAAAATTCTTCATGTGATGAATAGGCCTCAATCTAGATCCAATGCTGAAGCCGCCTGCAAACAATTCCTGTTGGACAAACATTCGTCTCTGCAGCTCACACGTGCGCGTACTGGTACATGCGCAGGCTCAAGCTTTGGTGTAGAAACGCACGCCCATGCTTGTCCACACCAGCTTGGAACAAACAAAAAGACCCAGACAAGTACCCAAATCGCCATCGGGTCCGGCTTCTCCTTATTTCTGTCTACTGGTACAGGTCCCTACTGCACTTGGCTACTGCTAGCCTCGACTCATTCATCATCTCTCTGCCTGTTCGCTTCTGTCCAGCGTCGTCGGCTCGCGGGTTGGGCACAAAGCTCGGATGTACCTGTACCTGCACCTGCACCTGCACCTGCACCTGCGCCATTACTTGTGGTAGCGCATGCTCAGTGCTCACAGAATTGAACCCCAGCCGCTGCAGTTGATCTCCCTGCGGCAAGACGCCACTCTCCGGCCTCCTGTCCATCCACAGCTGCCGAATAGCACAGACACCCGTGCGTGTCTCCATCTTTGGCGCCAAAGCGGCTGTCTTGCGTCTCTGATAGAGAGACGCTGCTCACCGCACAATTGATCAGCTGCCTCCCCTATATCGATGGCTCTGTGTGCTGTCAGTTTGCCGCTGGCAAATGGCAGACGCCAGGGACCGTCCTCGTCCTGTCCATCAGGGGATCCGGCAAGCCACATCCAAAGCGCAAATCGAACTCTCCTCGCTTGGTGCTAGTACCAATCAATATTGTACAGCGGCGGTTGGTGCTCTCAGGGCCCTGCCTAGCCCCAAAAGGCCCCAAGCCGCCCAGAAAAGGACCCTTCCTGTTGAATCACTGACCACCACCCCCAAATTGCCCCGAAAACTGGCGGCTGCCATTGGCCCTGCGTCCCTCTTCTCCACACCGCTGGCCAAGCCTCCACCCACCCCCCTTCAACTGCGACCTGGTCGGCTCAACTTCTTTTAGGCACTGCTAGGGACCAGAGCTAGGCTGGCTAGGCCTGCTAGGCCTTCCAGGCTGGGGCCGGCTAGGGGTGCTGGGGGCCCTGGCCTGGCGCTCCAGTTGCTGTCCGCCCACAGGCCACAGGCCCCAGCCAATCTCTCGCTCACCTTTGGCTGCATCCGCGTTCCTCCTCCAATCCTGGACCTCTCCTTCACCCTTTGCTTTTTCCCGTATTTCCACCCCTCTTCCATCTTCCATCCTCCATCGTCCTCATTCATTCCTCTCAATCGCCCTCTGCGGCTCTTCCTTTGCATTTCCTGCTCCGTGCATTGTCTTCTGGCCAGCTTCTGTTTAATTTTTTACTTCTTCTACCACAACCGACTGTGAAGCTCCTAACCGCTGCCTTCTCTACTTTCTCTACAAGAGTCGGATATTCATTTCCCTTTTTTATTGGCAGAGGTACAACTCCTGAAGCCAAAAGGAAAAAAGCATAAAGCTGCGGAATCAGCCTTCTCTTACCCGCTAGCATCATCATTCAGAGCTGTTCACAATGGCTTCAGCAACCAAGGTGTGTATGCCCAATCGAGAAATCACTTTGAGCGCGAGATTTATCCTGTGCTCTCCCTCTTTTTTTTTTTTTTTGCTGCCAATCCTTGCTTTAGCCTGTTCTGTATAACTGACATTAGCTGCGCTGCAAACTAGTTCCTGCGAGAGTACAAGCTGGTAGTTGTCGGCGGCGGTGGTGTCGGTAAATCTTGCTTGACCATCCAATTGATCCAGAGCCACTTCGTCGACGAGTATGATCCCACAATTGAAGGTTCGTCACTTCTCTCCAGCACCCAGATTCCATTTCTCTCCCCCTTTCCAGGGCCTTGCAATCTGTGGACGGTGGCTTCTATTGGCCGCTTTGCCTGATTGTTCCTCCGGCTTCTTCTCCCCTGCTTCACAAACCACGAGCTTTGGCTAATCTGGTCGTGGTTCCAATAGATTCATACCGAAAGCAATGCGTCATTGATGATGAGGTCGCCCTGCTCGACGTTCTGGATACTGCCGGCCAAGAGGAGTACAGTGCCATGCGAGAGCAATACATGCGCACAGGAGAGGGTTTCTTGCTGGTCTACTCAATCACATCACGACAGAGCTTCGAGGAAATCACCACTTTCCAGCAGCAAATCCTGAGAGTCAAGGACAAGGACTACTTCCCCATGGTCGTTGTTGGAAACAAGTGCGATTTGGAGGGCGAGCGAGAGGTCACCAGACAAGGTAAGCAAATCGTCATCCTCCGTCATGGTTAAGCAGCGCTTCCTATTTCTTGCTTATCTAACATTTTTTTTTTCTTAACAGAGGGAGAGGCGCTGGCGAAATCATTCAACTGCAAATTCATCGAGACATCTGCCAAATCCAGAATCAATGTTGACAAGGCCTTCTACGACATTGTTCGCGAGATCCGAAGATACAACCGCGAGATGCAGGGTTACTCAACCGGCGGCGGCAACAGCTCTAGCGCAAACCCTCCCAAGCCCATGGACATTGAAGGCGAGGAGCAGGAGGGTGGCTGCTGCAAGTGCGTCATTATGTAAAAAGGCCTCTGCTTTTGCAAAGCGGGGAAAGGATGGCTTGCATTGTCTTGTTGTTTTATGATGCTAGAGGCGACATTTCATGGTGAAAACGAGAGGATTTTGGACGCTCCATGGCACAACGCGCGACGGACAGCCCTGAACGATCGACGAAGCACGATACCTCTCAATGCATCGGGCGGGGAGTCGGGTTCTGACTTGGGACACGCATTCGGATTTTCCCTTTTTTCTTTTCTCTTCTTTTTATATTTTCATGTCTTGTTCTCTCCGTTGCGCTTGTCGAGAGATCTACCAGCGGGGCAAATGTGTCAGATTCCAAACACAGCCTGGAGCCTTTGTCAGGAGCGCGTGCCTGCGTGTGATTCTGCAGCGTGTTGGCGAAACGGGCTGTTCGTCGCACTACCGGAAGGAAAAAGAAAAGAGTCTCGGGAGGGTAAATTTTGAATCGAGGGGGAAGCGAATGGAAGAGGATGAGGCGCTACAGCATGCGAGCGTGTAGCCAAAGGCCAAACAGGAGGCCTGAACCATTAAATTAATATCCTCCTGGGTGGGCTTGCGAGGATGGTTTTTTCTGACTCTGAAAGTATGGGTCATACGTTCTTCTCTTATATCCCATTATTTCACACGTGTAATTTCATTTTTTTTTCTACTTACTGATTGTTAACTTGCATGGTAATGAGGATTCGCTTCAAAATTCTACCGTCCTTTTGTATCTAGGACAGCTTTTCAATTTTACTGGGATGCCCCCTTTTGGGCTATTCCCATGGCTCACTTTGATGTTGCTCTATTCTGGTGTTTAATCTTTTTTCTTTTCTTTTTCTTTTCTTTCCTTTTTCCTTCTCCTTATCTTAGCTTCTTGTTAGCTTCGTTTGCCCTTTCTTTTTTTCTCCTTTCCCTTTTGTCACTACCCCTCTTTTCTCTCCCTCGAACAGACAAATACTACCACTAAAATAAAAAGCAAACTTTTACCTTGTCGCAGGTTGAGTGTGCCGCTAATCCGAGAAAGTGACTGTGCTTGGCTTCAAGTGGTGGCGCCAGAGAGATACAAACAAGCAATCCGGGCAAAGAGTACGGGGTGTCAAGTATACATATATATACCGATATGTTGCATTTTGTCAGCGGCTTTGTATTGGTTCGAGCATTTTACCCCGGATTTTCAATCTTGTTCATGCATTTGGGCAGGGAAAATAGCTAGGGACGACAAGAAGAGTTGACACATGATGCATTCATAAACTTATTCAGCATCCTAGCGATAGCTCAAGGCTTTAACTAGGAGGTACTTTGTGGTGTGTCCTTGTTATCTTCCATTTCGCTATATCATGCGTAGGGACCGAGGTATGTATGCCGTGGCTGGATTGTCAGTAACCAACACTTTATTCATCGGGTCGCGCTCTTGTAACTTGTCCATATATATATGCCTTTGCTACACTTTTTGGGCTGCTAAAGAAGAAATTCCTTGTCTACTCTATCTATTTCTGAATAGCAAACATCACACTATATCACGAGAATCCCGTTCCGTCGGACTGGGACACTAGCGTCAGTGTGTCAATATCAACATTCAGCTTCATCGGCCATTGGGATCCAATCAGGCTCCAATGGAGTCTTGGCATTATAGATAATAAGCACTTTGAATCCTCCTAAAAATCGGTTATTGGGTGTACCTGAGTCTCCCCCCCTGCATCCAGCTGTGCTTAACCAGCGATGACAATCTCAGCCTCAGCCTCGTTGTGTAAGTCACGGCATGTTATTGGCCGTGTTTAAAACTAGGTGGTCACGCATACGTTCAAGTGTTTATATTTTTTTTTTATGCACGTCCTTGTATATCTACGACATGACAGCCTCTTGGGTGAGAAGCTGAGAGAGCTGAGAGCGCGGCTCTCGTATTTCTCACTTCTCCTATGAATCAGTTGCTGGCATATCCTGGTTCAAGGCGCGAAGTGTATTTGTAATTGCCAAAATGGTAGGAGGAAAAGAAACCACAGTAATAATAATGCTTGGCTGGATTATGCTTGGCTGCCACAGATTGGGGGTATTGGTCTTGAGAGGACGGAACGAGGTATATAAGGCCAGATGTGTGCAGACTTGAAGCTGGATTTGCTCTGCAACCTTCAGCAAAGAATTAATCCAGTTCTTGGCTCTCAAGGAACACCATTCACAATGGGCCTTTCAAAGACTTCGATTCAGCTCTCTTACTTCTTCTTCATAGCAGCTGCTCAAGCATACACGACATTTGAACCCGATTGCTCAGCCCCTACCAAGAAAGTGAATTACGTGAGGGATCCTAATTCCCGCGGTACACTCGATATACTGTTGAAATCTGTATTTGCAATCTTTGCATGTACTTGGACCATTCATCATCCCAATGTTCCAAGGCAATATCATGGATACCGGCGCGAACCCAAGTCACAGCCAGAAAACCAGGATGCCAATCCAGATCTATGCTCTCATTCAGACACAAGCTGGAACTGGCGCTTGAGAAGCCTCTTGAAAAGCACGGGGCGAATGGTGCTCACGATATTTGCGCCTGAAATCATAATTGCTGTGGCTTACAATGATCGAACTTGCGGCCCATCTGGATCACAAATCATTGGTAGATCAGGCAGTAAAAGATGAGATTAGCTGGTCGTGGATTCACACCTATTACGCAAACATGGGAGGTTTTGTCGTTGAGAAGAAGGAATATGCGCGTTGGGCCAGGGGTGAATACAACATGCACCATCTGTCCGGGAGAGACATTTTAATACTGCGAAAACTGGGATACATCGAAAAGCTGCCAAACATGTCCAAGAGGGGGCTTAAAGACAGGGCCAAAAGTGATTCACTTATTAAGGCAATCTCAGTCACCCAGATTATCTGGTCTACGGCACGGATCCTGGTTCGAACCGTTTGGAGATTGTCCATATGCCCCCTTGAGCTCACCGTGCTGGCCTTTACTCTCTGCGCGATTGTCATCTATCTGCTTTACTGGGAAAAGCCAAAGAGCATTGGTGTAACCACGACCGTTATTCCGGCACAACCATATACGTATGATGACATACAGGTGGTTCTTACCTTGGCGAGAGATGAGGGAATCCATGTAAAAGCAGAGAGCGATACAAGCAGCAGCATTGAATCAAAGAGCCCTGGACCGACGAGCATTGGAGTACGTGAATGGACGCCAAGCAACGACGTAAATCAGAGCGCCAATTCAGACATTCTCAGGACATGGAGCACCATGCCCCTGTTTTCCTCCAGAAAACCCAAATCGGTGGATGGCGCACCACTGAGAATCGACACTGTTCGAAAAGGCGAAGGATTTGATGATGGAACCCTCTGGGCGCTGCTGGCAGGCATGGTCTTGTTCGGAAGCATACACATTGGAGCGTGGCATTTCGAATTCCCAACTCATGCCGATAGGATGCTGTGGAGATGCTTGACTGTCTACTCTGTCGGATGCGTCTTCATCGCGCTGGTTGCGGTATTCCTGCAGAAGGCTGCGAAGAAGGCTCGCAAGGAAGATGCTGATGGTCGCGTTGGGAAAGCTCTTGGCTGTTGTGGAAAGTTTCTGTATTACACTGGCCTTTTGCTGTATGTTGTCGCCCGGCTGGTGATCCTTGTGGAGATGTTCCGGACTCTTCTCTATCTTCCTACCGACGCCTATATTTCCAGCCGGACACCGTATAACTGATTCAACAAGATATCCCTACTATTTATCAGATCAATAGATTTAACAAGTCAATGAATTTTTGGGGTTTAGTATAGGCTAAATGTAGTTTGCAAGTCAGGTTATGAGATATTAATGCAAGAATTGTTTTTGATAATCTCATCAAGTGAATTCACTGTCTAAACTGGTACTCGTCTCTAATGCTAGGTATCTTCATCGCTAACCAACTGAATATGACTGCTATAATGCACGTGCCCATGCTCCCGATAGTATTCCAACGCCAATCTCATCTCCCTCCTTCTCATTCTCCATCTTCAACGTCATGTGCCCATGTGCCATTGCTCCCAGCCCGGCACAAGCCCCATCTGCTTCTGATTCACAACCCAATCACCACAGGCAAGGCACACCCACGCCTTGGGGCCTTGTTCAAACATTGTCTGTATCGTATTTTTCGGCGAGTTCGCCTCATGGGGCGGCTTATCCACCAGGCAGCCCGGACAGACGTTGCGGCCAAACCTCTGTAAACACCACTCCCGCATCTTCACAGCTTGGGCCACGATCAGGCCGCCAAAGCGACTGCGATGTTTCCAACAAAGCCGCTGGGCAAGCAGCTTCGTCGCGCAGGCGCATCCCGTCACGGGCAAGGCCGCGCCCTTGAAGTTGACCCTGCCCAGGGGCGTCTCGAGCTCGAGCTCCGTCTGCGTGTAGTAGCTGTCGCTGCAGTCGCCCCAGATGTTGACGGCGCCGACGATTCTGCGCCGCAAGACTTGGCCGATGCTGTTGCTCACCTGGGCGGTGCAGTCGGCGCAGAGATATGCGCGAAATGCATGCAGTTCCCGGTTGGTGACCAGATTGTCGTTGAGCTGTTTCGCACTCGACTTGCAGCAGGCATTGCAGACGTGTGCCGCGTTGTCTTCATGCAGCAGACATTGACAGGTTGAATCCAGAGCAACGGGGTTGTTGCAGTGGACGTTGTCTCTGATTTCGGAACACGTCTCGTCGCCGCCTGGCGCAATAGGCGTGACGACCTCTGGGACGAGGCCGAGGACGTTGCAGAAGGGCGAATCCTGCGGCTTTGGACAGCCCAGGACGAAACTGTACGGAGTGGGCAAGGTTGGCTGCGGTCGCTGTATAAACATGGCTTCTTCTTGATCGATGCTAAGCGGATTATGATCGATATACTCTGCATCTTCTAGTGCTGATGACGCTTCCAGTGGTAACGAGTCAATCTGCATCAATGTATCCAAATCTTGATCTATATCTATTAGTACCAGGTCGGGATCTAGATGGGAAACTTCAAACGGGCTGAATTGCAGATTTGCCGGCACCTGGCTGGAAGGAGCTGCAGCGTCAAAGCCAAACTGGCTCTGTCCGGGCAACGTGGGACACTCAAATGGAGGCGAAGCGACTCCATCGTCAATCATGTCCGAGTTGATGTACTCTGAGAGCCAGTCTGGCGCGCTGGTGTCGAAAATGAGAGCAGCCGGACTCGAAGTCGTGACATGGCCGCTATTGCCATGGGCATCTACACCACGGTTAGGATCAGCATCATCGTTAGGTCTTGTTTGGACACCGGGATTGTTGGTGTCATCGTCATCATCTTTGTCACCACCGCCATGACCCGGGAAATCAGAAAAGAGCGCCGACACAATCTTGCCGTCCCGGATATCCTGCATCTTCTGCCGCACAGCCTCTACCCGCTCTCGATAGTGTCCAAGCTGGTTCATCGGAACAGCCTGAGGCCAGCGTTCCTTTATCCACGCCGCAATCTGCTCTCGAGTAATTCCACTTGCTCGGCCACTTACGAGCCCCCCCTGAGTTGCATCTCCATGAGGCGGCGCTCCCGGCGGGCTCAGCATGGACCGCAGCTGGACACCCATCGTGGCAATGAAATTTCTGTTCTGGTTCTCGGGGATGCCGTAGATACTTGTGGCTGGACCTACCCAGTGCTCAATGGCTGATCCGTCTTTGGGGTCATCAACTCCGCCAGAACCGTATCCCAGGGCGAGATAGTAAAGAGGCCCCGGAGGAGGATCCAACCGCCCCTTGATGCAATACTTGGCTGTGTCTCCTACCCAATCATCGCACTCGTCGCCGTGCTTGATGCATGAATCGCACGGCCGCTGGAGGTCACAGTTTCGTCCTGCTTCTCTGCAGCAGTTGCATTCCACAAAGGGCATGAAGCCTCCAATACCAACCCTGGCCAGATCAAAGAGAGGATACGACGTGTCATCCCCGGCGTCAATACAGTCAACGCCCAGTTGAGTGCAGCGATTGCAGCTATAAGAGTACGAACCGGCGTCAGCCCGGCAGTGGTCGTGATCATCTTCCCAGCATCTCTTGCAGTAGCGGCGTTCCGGGTTGATTCTCCTACATTCGACAAAGCCCTTGTCAAAGACTTGGAGCTTGACGGCCCACGTCCTTGGTAGAGTCAGTCTCTGTGGATTGGCAACAACTCGGCCACCGCTGAGACACGTCAGATTATTGGTCTGGCAGTACGAACAGGCCTGGTCCCGAGTAGAGCGATCTCTGAGCCAACTGCATCCCGCGGTAACGGTGCCCTTCTTCGTCTTGTTTTGGCAAGCATGGCACTCTGCGCGAATCCATCGAGCAGCGTCAACTCGAGTATTGGGCCGGGCCTCCATCTCCTGGCCATTCACCGTACACTTGCCGTCTCTGCAGGCCTTGCTGATTGTACAGCCATAGCCAAGAGTTGAATCGACGTTGCACTGATTGGCCATCTTGGAGTTGAGGCATTGGTCGCAGGTCGGTGGCCGGTAGTCCACGGGATCGGCAACGCCGTACTTGCGCCAGACATTGTTTATCAGAGGAGGCTTGCATCTGTGCTTGGAACCCGGATTCTGTGAACGATGGTCAGCGCAGTTGGAGCATTCGATAAAATTTCCTTTCCACCCTTTTGTGTAATCGCAGTATCTTTGCTTGCACATTTGTCTGCCTATGGGATCACGGTAACAGAACTCGCATCTTCTCAATGCTATGGGCTTCTTTGAGGAGGGCTGGCTGCCGTCTTTGTGGTTGTCGTCTCCACTGCGGTCTTCGTCTTCATCGTCTTCATCGTCACCGACTGTGCCTTTTTTCTTTGGATTCTGCCGATTACGTGCGTTTTGTAATATTTGTGCCAACGGTTGCTGCTTCTGAACGGGTCGACTGCGAGTTATGCGTCCGGTATTGGTTTTTCGCAGGATCCTATCCTTGATTCTGTCTGCAATGCTGGCCATGATTGTACACTATTTCACTATGCTTTACACTAAAAGCGTATTGATACAGATGGGGTCTCCAACCTCTAATGCAAGCGCAGATGTGCACAAATGACTTGAATCATCTCTTCATAATTATGGCACAAGTTGACTTTATAAGCCATTCTGGAATACGCAGCATGTACAAAGAGACATCTTTTGTTTATATTAAGACGACACTTGGGCCGTTTTCATAATAATACCTTATGAATCTTATGAAAAACCCCTTGTGAGCGCAATCTCAAAGAATGTCACTATGCAACTGAATTCTTTTCACGTATGTGAACGTGTTTGACACAAGAGAGACAGAAAAAAACACTAAACCAGGGGAAATGATGAAGTCAAAGACATTTTACGCAGAGCCAAGATTATAAATAGATGTGAGTTGAGCAGTAAAACAACGAAAGTCACTACAACATCTAACAAAGAGATGGTTGAACAATGCTCTTTCAACGCAACCCCCCGAATCGCGCCATTCATCCATTCTATACAAAAAAAAAAAAAAAAAAAAGATTCTTTGAACAGTTATTCGCAGCTCAAACAATGTCCTTTTTCAAAAACACGCACGGAATCACCTCCTCGACGCCCGTCTTCGGATCAACCCACGTATAGCCACGCTCATTCCTCGCAATCGCCTGGTACCCCTGCCGCACATACCACTCCTCGTTGGATCGGAAATCCTTGGCCTCGATCTTGCGCCCGCTCAGGGCAGAGTGATAGGCCAGATATTCCGGCCTTGTCTGGTACTCCTTTGTCGAGGTGTCGAGGGCCATGGTTGTGGCGTTGAGGGGCGGGCAGGTGGCCAGATGCTCGATTTGGTACATTGCTGAGCGGCCGAAGCCGCCGGATTGCATGGTTCTGAAGAGGGGAGATGAGACTTTTTGATGACTGACTTGGGGTGTAAAGGAGGAAAGAAATTACCGTGAGATGTAGAGTGATTTAATCCATACCGTGGATTGGGGAAGAGAGAATTTCGTGTTTCGGTCTGGATAGAGATCGAGGGCGATGTGGCCGATTGGGATGAAAGTTGTGAGAGTTGGCGTTCTGGGTGAGTTGGCGAGGGTAGTTGCTGTATCGACGATGGCTTCTTTTTCCTGTTACATGATGAGTTCAAACAATTTCATCTTCAGACAAGAATTCCTCTCAACCATACTGTCGGGTATTTTGCAATGTGCTTTGCTAACAACTCATCCTTTCCCGCAAGATCATCGCTGAGTTTCTACAACATCTCATCATTAGTCGAGATTCTCACAAAGCCTCGTTCAAAATTCAATCTCACAATCCAATAAAAAAACTTGTTCCCCTCTCGCACCTTGACCTTCCACTCGTCAATCAGGTCCTGGTCCCACGTACACGCCACGCGCTGCTCGTATAAGCGCTGCGCATGGGCGTCGCTGTCGGGATCCCAGGGAACGAGCTCGACGTTGTTGTATTTTGACGACGGTATTGTTTCCGGAGGCGACATTGTAAACTTTGGGCGTTTGACTTGGATCCTTGTTTTTAAAATGACCTCGTTATGTGTCTTCTTTCTTCTTGAACAATTAAGTTGGCAAAAGTACGACTTTTATTTACAAGCAGAGAGCCAGTCAAGAAATGAAAATTACGTTGTTGGCAATCAAGGATATTTGTCTACCTCGCATCAAACCGGATTTCGGCTCTAAATTTAAGTCCTCCATGAGGTGGACCATTCGCCCAAGTGAAAGGATTTCCCAACTCAGTTTAGAACTCCCAAAGGAACTGGCACCAATAATGCCCCTCAGTCAACTTGTACTTCAAACAGAGTCTAGGGCGCGCCCTCTGCTGTCCTAACAAACCTATGTTACTTTTGACATGCTCTGACTCATGCACCAACACAGCATGCAACGCGGCAACGGCTTCTCCATGTCGTTAAACTAAGCTTTCGCCTAGTTAAAACAACTTGAAGGTTGTGATATAACAAAAAGACAGATGTGCATATGTGCATGAATTGCAATTACATTTGTGCATTTTCTCTTTCAACCCCCCCTGTCTTTTACACAATGAGAAGCGCAGCTTATAGTTGACAATAACCCACTGCTTCACCCTCTCACCTCAACTGGCCCTAATCTACATATATTGCCGAAAAGCGCAACTCCCTATCAGCATCCTTCAGATGAAATCTGATATTATTCTTCCCAGTTCCGTCTACATCTTCCTTGTTAAATATGTGTTGTCTCTATCTACTGTAAAACATTTGGATATTTGCATAATCTGCCTCCCCATAGAACAGTCCCGAATTCCTTTCCTCCCAATGGTCCCTCGGCTCCAGATGTCCCTTCATCAACATGACATGACGTTAAAATTTTCGCTCCCCCAACTCAATGATATTCTCTCTCCTCCTTGAATCTTTGCTTGATTCTCTCCTTGATTCTGCGCCTAAATGCCATCTTCAGATTCTCTTACAACCCCGACCTTCTATTATCTTCGTGTCTCCTGTAGAGACATACACATCCACATCCGCCGCCCCTTTACCCTTGTAATCCGCGCCGGGCTCACAAGGATCATGCTGATGCCCACGCTTGTTATTACACTGCGTTGCCTCATCAAAGTTCTCGCCATAGTTATTTGTGGTTTAGTCCTTCTTTAATCTTTCTTTTTCTGTCATGCTCGTTTAACCTCTTACATACTTCATCCGGCGAATTGGAACCTGGTTGCTTCGAGCTGCCCGAGGCCGTCCCGAGGCGCAACGTTACGGCGCCGATATGTATTCGTAAAGTCTTGCAGCAGCACTCTCACATGTCGAATGCCTCCTGCTTCATCCGACCCCAGTCGCTCCTTGATCTTGATCATCAGTCTGTTGGCTTCCTCTGGAGACACAGTGCCCTGAGGTAATAGCTGAATCGTACGTGAAACCCATTCGGTCGTCTGCACAGGCAAAAGTTCAAAGAGACTGAGCAGAACGCCGCTGCCATCCGCAAAGCAGTCTCGCGGGAAAGTAATCATCATGCCCGCCATGACTTGCTTCACCAGATTTTCTCCGTGGCTGCTGAGGAGGTTCTTAACAATCGTTCTGATGCTCGCCGCAGCCGACTCTGGCAGCCCCTCACTACTGGCCGGATTGTCGCCACCGTATGACAGCAAATCTCTCAGGAAGTGGAGAGTCGAAGACAGAGGATCTCGCTGTTCCAGAGTCAAGGCGTAGATGGAGGCCTCGAAAATAGGGACCAGGAGTGGAGATGGAATGAGCTTCTGGGGATAGTATAGCAGCGCATCGATGAGGAGCCTAAAGAAATCATCAATCACGTCTGGCAGCTCCTTGGGCTGCAGTTCGGTCATGACCCTCAGGAATGTCGTCGTTTGCGCTTCGAAGAATGTGTAGATGTTTTCGGCTATGCTCGGATCCACATGCTCTCGCGCCTCGGAGAACTCCCGCAGAATGGCAGATGTGACCCAAAGGAAGCAGCCTTCCCTCGAGACATTGAAACCGCCAGCCAGTTTATTTGCCATGTCCGCAAGCATGGGTGTAATGGCAGTCCGGTAGGAAATGACCATGTTTCTCCAGCACCTGCAAACTCTTTCGCAAATTGGTGAAAATGTGAGGAAGTTGTCTAGTACAGTAGACAAGATGGGGAAGACTTCTTGCCAGTACTTGACCGCAGGGTTCTCTTCTCCAGGGTTAACCAGAGGCATCACATTTTGCACAAAGATGGTAATAAGCTGCAGGTGGTCTGTTTTTCAAGTCAGCAAAAAGAAAAGAAAAGAAAAAGATATAGTCGATTAGGTAGAAAGAGAAAAGGGAAGAGAGAGAGAGAGGAACAAGGGAAAAATCATACCCGCTACTGCTAGTTTGCCCTCATCCGTGGTTGCATGGTTTGCCTTCGCCATCAGCCTTTGAACTAGCGGATCACAATACGTCTTGAGCAGGTGATACGTCTCCGAAACAGGCTGAACAGCCAGAACATTCGAAACGCCCTCGGTGACCTCTTCCTTACTGAGATCAGGAAGTTTATCCAAGACTTGGTCATAAAACGTCTGGAGCTGCAGTATTTGGCCGCTGAGAAGGTGCTTGCAGTCAGTACAAAAGAATTTGAGTGACAGCGCTGCAGCCCGAGTGATTTCTCGGGAGTCGGACTGGAATGAGTTCACGATGTAGTTGAATTGAGGCTCCAAGTACTCGGGATGCGCCGCAGTCCACTCAGTGTAGCGCCCCAGCACCATGATGGTCGCAAATCGAAGCTTCTCGTGGCTGGGCATCTGGACCAAGAGCGGCATCAGCTGAGGAAGCACAATATCTTCCTCCTTGTCTACCATGCGGCCAAGGGCGCGCATCGCGAATAAGGGGGCCTCAAGCTCCTGCCAGTGTGGGACTGACGCCTCTGTTGCCTGGCTAGCATAATTTTGAGTCCATAGCTGAATGGCATGAAGCACCTTTGTAAGGCACTCGGTCACGCCCATGACTTCGCAACAGTCCTTGAGCGTGTCGCCCATCTGGTGTCGAAACTCGCGGAATTTCTCCTCTTGCTCGCGGTCCCCGTCAAACAAGTCGGTTTCGCTTCCGGACTCGGGCGTCGGGAATCGTAGATGCGCAAGTAGAATATCCACAAGTTTAGAGAAGACATCCACAAGCTCCAACCTGCCCTGGATATATCGTTCCAGCACCAGATATTGCTTGAGCTCATACCAAAAGTTGAAAGTATGCTCGATAACATCGCGGTCCTTATCCCGAGCGGCACATTCGAGAACCGCATCGACAATGGGGCGGAACTGGGTTGGCTGTCGTGCGATGGCAACTACCCAGCTTTCCGCCGCAGTTGCTAGAACTTTGGTTAGAGACTTGAGCGATTCAGTATCCTCTTCAGCAACCAGGGTGGCGATGCGCGGCGTGAGGCTGATGATTCGCGGGAACAGAGTTTGGATGACAGCTTGGGATTCGTCAACATCAGCCGTCTCTCTGAGCATCGTGCACAGGCACTCTGCGGCTTCTTGGCTGCATTCATCAGATGTAACACCCTGGAAAATGGCTTCTAGGAGAGGCGAGCTGGCGATGATGCCAACGGGAACCTCTCGAAGCCACGACGTGATGCACTCCATAAGGAGTGGGTTTCGAGACGCGGCAGCTGGAAAGGAACATTTGTTAGTTTTCCTCATTCTCTTGCAGAGCAGAAATGCAGACACCTGGAAGAAGAAGATTGTCAGATAAAAGAATTGGTACAAGACTTACGCGAAGACTGTGAATAGTTGATTAGGAGCTGTACAACTTGATCCGCGTTATCTGCCAGCAGTGCTTGCGTCCGCGCTGCAAGATCTTCTTCCTATTTCCAAGCAATTAGACTTGTTCCTCGAGGGTGATTACCGACCGGCCGAGACGAAACCATCGGGGGCCAGGTGCCGCGTCGTATTAGAGTAGCGCAATCCACATACAGACAAGGTAATTTTTCGACCTTCAGTCACCTCCTCGGGAAGGACTCGCAAAAAGTCGAGAATACAAGCGTGGCTCTGGGGGCTGTCGCTGAGCGACTGGACGACCGAGGAGAGCACATCGTTCCAGTCCTTCATCTGGATCGCCAAAATCGCCAAGCACACGCATAGTTGAACTCGAATGGGCTTGGGGCCGGCGGCGTAGTGCTTCAAGAGGAGCAAAATCTGGTTTCGAAGGGCAGGTAGCTCGCCGGGGGGAACCTGGGTGATGAGATCGTAGGTAATCTGGTATCGTTAGCAGTCCGAGGACCGAGAATAGCCAAGAGCGGCAAAAGGAAGAAGAATTTGAACAACCTTTCCGCGCAACGTGATGGCGGCAAAAAGGGTGGCCTCGGGCTCAGCCTTGGATTGGAGGATTCCAATTACGGTCCCCCAAGAGTCCTTCTAAAAACGCCATGATGATTAGCAAACTGAGGTCGAGTGAATAAGAAACGCGAGGTGTCGGCAGCGGATTGCGACGTACCGACTTCTGGAACTGCTCCAAGTACTCGTGCGCCTTCTTCTTTGCTTCCTGTTCCCCGCTTCGCATCGTCATGACGGCCCCCAAAACATCTGATGGCGCAAAGCCCGCCGTGCCATTTGTAGCCATCTCGGGCTGTTGCGACAGAGCGCAAAGAGAGAAGCCTGGAAGCTCAGAGAGAAGTCGGTGCTGGCAGAGCTATTTGAGCGCGAGCTTGGGCGGTCGAGAAACCAGCGCTCATCGGCTAGCCGTAGACGTGGCGAGGGACCAGCTGCTGGGAGAATCAGCCAGATCGTGCCGTGGGCGGCTCTCCACGCACAGGGCGCAGCGACGAGGGGGAAAGCAAGTAAAGAAGGGAAACGAGAGAGGCGCCGAGTGCAGGCTGGCGGGGGCTGACAAGAGTCGCGGGCGTCGGTCTCGGTGCGTTTGGATCTGGATGGCTGCTCCGAGCAAAATCATGGAGTCGGCCTTGCTCTCTGGCGAAGTGGCATGGGGGCTTTCCAAGCTGGACTTGGCGGGGCAGTTCTTTTGCGGGCTGCCTGCGGGTTTTTCCGTTTCCGGGTTCCCAGCTTTACGAGCCATGTACCCGGTTTGCCTGCCGCATCAGTATGAGAAGCTTTGTACCTGGCAATACCCGGTATCACATCCTGGCTACAAAACTGTTCAATGAACAAGGGAAGCAACATTGCTTTGTGATTGTCTGAAAGTCTAAAGGCATTTTTCATTATTATTTGTATGACAGAAAACTACCAAAATAGCCATCACAATTGTGCCTTTGCAGCAGCGTAGCAGCGCAGCAGCCTATTAGCAGTTTGAGAATATTATACTAGCGTCCTGTGTGTCTTAGTACTTAGTACTAGTAGTAGGTCAATAGGGCATGTATGACGATGTACACAAGTAGTAGCTATGATGTGTATAGTATCACTGGTATTTTGTTCTCCATCACCATCGTTACCTTCAGAATCTGAATAGTGTATCAGAACTAGATCTAGGTGTCTAAAAGAGAAAAATAGCAGTAGCTGAAAGCACAGTGGACGTTGATGTTCTTGACCCAGTGGCTTCAGTGCTTGGCGCCACTAATGCTAGCACCTAGCACGCCACAACATTTAAAGTTATACTGCTTCACGGAGCATACGCCTTCTTCCACTCTGACCATACATGGGCGACTCTATCCTCGAGATTCTGCATCGACCGTGGAATCATCTGATAATGAATTCCCGCGCTGTCCAGCATACGACAGAACTCCTCGTCGTACTCGCTCCAATCCTGCAGGTCTCTCGGCATAAGCCTGACTCCATCACTTACAAGCCAAGCCTCCACTGTTTCGCATACAAATACGAGAGAATGTGACATTCGATCTCTCAGCTCTTTCCAGTAATCAGATGAAACCATGAGTTCCACGGCTTCGCTTCCGATATGACGAGACGCGTATATGATGGGATCCATTCCAGACCGATCCGATATGATCCAGCCATTCTTGGCCAGAGCCTCTCGCTCGGTACTGAATTGGGCTTCCAGTATCAGCGTCTGCAACTGCAGGCACCGGCCAGGATCCGATGTGATGTCTTTGGCTGTGAATCCATGAGTTTTCAGCACTGAACGCGCAACCTCTTTCACAATAGCAGGAGGCGTCGTGCCGAGTGATTCCCGGAAAGCATTTTCCAAGGCCTTGACGAGGGAAGTTTTGCCGGTGCACTGAGCGCCGATGATGTAGATGTTCTTTGGGGCCAAGCTTTGCAGCGTGCTGGAGCCTCCCATGGTGCTGAAATCAGATGCAAGAAAATTGGTAATGGACGTATATTGCAAGAGTAGCAATAAAACCGAATTCTGTGAGCATATTACTAGTAGCCTCATGCGGGAGGCCTTCAAGAATGTACGTATCAGTCACGCATCAGCTAAGTGCGGAGAAACGATGCCCGTGTAACCACACTTTTTACCCAAAAATGTTCACAAACAAAAATGGTCTCTCTGTCGGCACTTGACGAACGAGATGGTTGTTTCTCAAGTGTGTATCTGATTACACTTTATTAAATCATCGTCAGAAATATCCTCATCGCAAACATCTTAAGCGACTTACAATACTTGAACAAAAAGCCAGTCGTATGTGCACTCTTCAAGATGCCTCCAGCTTCAGCCAGTCCCAAGTCCTTCGAGCATGTTCTTCTCGACAACATTTCTCTTGATGACCAAAAATGGGAGTTCAATGTACCGCGACTACCAACAGCCGACTCGGCAAATAAGCTGAATTATATCAAAATGGTCAGTCTCTCGACAAAAGATTCGCGCCATCGCCTTGAGCTCCGGTACGGGCCAGTAGACATGAACCGCGCCATTCAGGATGTTTCCCTAGACAAATATCTGGTGGTGTCGCTCGCTGAGTTTCGTTCTATCAAAAACCCCAATTCTCCATCCACGGTCGAAGGAGATACCAGCAAGGTTATACAGCCAACAACATACAGAGAATGTTCAGAATATGCTGTCAAGTTCCTTCGTACTGGAATCAGCATACAGGGAGTGCACTACAATTTCTACGGCCACAGCAACAGCCAGCTAAAATCTCGAACCTGCTACTTTCTAGCAGCTCCCAAAGAGCAAATCAGTAAGAAGATCGAAGGCCTAGGAGATTTTACAAAGATGAAGACGGTTGCAAAAAAAGCGAAGCGGATTGGACTGCTCTTCTCAGTCGCCCGCGCGGCTATGAAAGTAGACCCGAAAAAAGTCGAAGATATTCCAGACATTGAAGTGGGAGACTACGTCTTTACGGATGGCTGTGGCTTGATTGCCCCAGCACTGGCCAAGGAGCTTTCAAGACGCACAAGGATTATTTTTCGCAACATGAGATATACGCCTTCTGTCTTCCAGCTAAGATATCGCGGATATAAAGGAGTCGTCACTTTGGATCCAACCATGGCGAAAGGCGGAACTTGGCTCAAAATGAGAAAGTCAATGAAGAAGTTTAGTGGAGGCGACGACTTATCCTTTTCCGTTGTAGAATACTCAAAGGTACGTTTTGACATGCAACAGCTACTATTTCTCTTTCGTATTTTTTATTACAAGGGTTTACATTGGATCTGCCCTACTAACAGTCCATTTCGGTAGCCATATGTATTTGGGCATCTCAACGACGAGGTAATTGTGCTTCTGGACGCCTTGGGAGTTGACCGCAAGATCCTCCTTCGAAAACAACAAGAGCATTTCAATTTTCTGGCCGAGGCCTACCAAGATCCGCGAGCTGCATTCAGAGTTCTCTGCCATCTAGACAGGCCAGACCTTGCCGAGCGTGTCATTATCGATTCCTTGGACTCTGTGCGGCCGTCAATTAATAGGCTCATCAATGCCGAGTATGACAAGATGCTAAACAAGCGTGATGAGCAGAAATGTCGCATACTGATCCCAAAGTCAAGACTCTTATTTGGAGTCTGTGATGCTTGGGGTGTCCTGAAACCGGGCCAGTGTGCTGTCAAAGTCACTATGGATGTGGACGGACTGCCTTATGCCTTGAAAGGAACGAAAGTGTTGGTGACAAGAAATCCTTGCTTGCATCCGGGCGACCTACAGAAGCTTGATGTTGTAGAGAGACCAGAGCTCGCACATCTGGTTGACTGTATCGTCTTTCCTACGACGGGACGACGGCCAGCGGCGGATATGATGTCGGGAGGCGACTTGGATGGCGATACTTTTTTCGTGACCTGGGATCCAGACATCATTCCGTCAACAATCTCACAAGCCGCACATTATCCGGGAGTTCGTGAGCCTCTAAGATTTGCACCCATCACGGATGATGATCGCTTACTCTATTTTGCCAAATACACAAACGCATCGCTGGGCCGTGTCAAGAATCTGTATCTCCGGTGGGCGAGGGCAACAAACGCCATGAGACCCGAGTGTCAAGAACTCAACCGACTATTCTCTCAGTGCGTGGACGGTAACCGTATCAAAGATAGCCAGCTTGACAAATTTGCGAAACCACCGGAGCCAGATGCCGAGGCGCCTCCGTTTGTTCTCGACGAGCTTCACGATGCAGCCAAGAACATCATTGCAAGGCAGAAGCTTGAGGCACGAAGCCGCACGGACAGCTTGGAAGGTTACACTCTTGATGCGATTCAATTGCTGCTCTGTAGAGATGACATTGCCATTTCTGAGGCTGAATTGATCAGGATGGCAGTGAGGTGGTGCAGAAAAACAAATACCCCCTTTTATCATTTGCTGCATATGTTCGACCTGAATTCGCTCAAGTCAGAAGACAAAGCGTGGGTCTTGGCTCAAATGCCTACATATGTTGATGCTCCAAGCTTTGTTCTCAATGCTCTTTGCTCTTCAAGCCTGCTCACTGAGGCGGAGCTAAAACATTTCCATCTTGACTATCCAGGCATGCACTGGAAACGAGTTTACACAACGGAGCAAGACAGACCCGCTACGTTCATGGAAGCAACATGCAGGAATCTGGAACTATTTCACAAAAAGATGATCATCTTTAGGCCAAATGAGCGACTGACTGTAGCCATGTATGTGCCGCAAAAGATAACTCCAGCCGACGACTTTGTTGTTGGCAGCAAAGTTAGACTATTCGCGTTTCCGCATTCTCAAGGAAGAGAGACGCAGAGTCGTCTGTCTCTGCCAACGAAGAAAGAATACCGACTCTACTGCGATCCAACTACATTGCAGCTATTTGAGGGTAGAAGAGGCAATACGTGGATATACATTGGCCGTGGAGGATCAAACGATAGTACCTATAGGAACGCGCCTACTGAGAAAGACCGTCGGAAAGCGAGGCAAGATTCCGTAGACAATGGTACGAATTTTGACTTTAGAGCGAGCATTGCGCTGGACAAGTTCAGTAAGAATCTCCAAGGCCATATAGGGCGACTACATAGACAGGGAATATCTGATGCGGTAAGTTTTACCCCTTGAGTAACCATTCGTACCTGAGATGCTGACTCTCGGTTGATATAAAAGGAGATATACATCATTAGTAATAGAGACTTCAGCTCGATGCGCAGCTTGGACCTATGGGAGGACTACATTGACACAGAACAAACTCTGCCTTTGTTCCCCCACGAACCCAAAGAATACGACGTTCCAAAGCTTCAAGATGTCGATTGGTCTCTTGGTGCGCAGCCTCCGCTTGTGGTCGAAGTGGTGAAACGGGGTAATATATCAGCCCTCCAGGATGTATTAGACGCTTCGACTCTACGCCAGCTTTTCCTTTGGCTGGTAGAACAAGAACAGCGAGGGCTGCTTATACGTTGCTTCGATCACTTGATTACGAGCATAAGAAGCGACAAAGTAATGGCGCCGGCGGACACTCTTCGCACCATGGTCGAATTTACAGAAACAATGCCGTATGTCTCCGCCACGTTTGCTAATCTGGGCTCGTGGAAAGACCTGCCAGAGGCTCTGGATACCATTCTTCAAAACGAGAGCTATATATTGCTTCGCAGCATTATTCTCTCTGAAGCCGAATTTGGTGATTTGATCTTGGTGCCTTTCCATACCATCTTGGAGAATGTGGAATTCCTTACGCTCCGCTCATTTTCCGACCTTTTTGAGCTTATTGCGCTTACAGTTCATTCGCCGAGCACGGCCTTGGATCTCCTCCTTGAAGGCCTCGACCAACAAAGCTCCAGGTTGCTAACGGGTCGACCAGCCATCACTCAGCATTTTGTCCACAATGTTATTGGAATCGCCGTCGAGCATATTGGCGCTGTAAAAGAGGAAGCAAAAGCCAGGGATGAGCTGCTGAGTATCCAAATCATCAGCGACGACGAAAAGACAAGCAAAGGTGGATATGGCACTCGCGTCCAAGTGTCCTTCAGGATAGATGCCCCGGGCGGTTCTCCGTTGGCAAACACTCATGTACGGCTCGTCGCGGCTAGTCCGCCTTCAAGTTCGATATTGGACGAGACCTATTCGATGGACGGCCTGGTTGTGGAGAGCAGGTCGGGCATGGCAAAGATAAACTGCCTCCATCCTCCACCGTCGTACGCCGAGAAATGTTCTTGGATTCTGGAAGAATGTGGCTTATTTGTGACTGCAAAGACGATGCTTGATGCTGTACGGGAACTCGGAATATCAGAGGATGGCTGTTGCGGAGTGATTGACCAAATCATGGGAATTCAGCCTCAACATGTGGTCAATCCACGAGCAGCTCACGAGGGCAGAGCTGACACCGACACTTTGATGCCAGGCTTGACGTTGTCTGAGGCGGATGCTTCATTGAATACAAGCCAAAGATCAGCAGTGGAGGCGGCACAAAGGAACAAGCTCGTCTGTCTTTGGGGTCCTCCAGGAACCGGCAAGACACAGACCATTGTCGCAATCATCAGAAGGCTTCAACAAGATGCCAAGACTGAAAGGATCCTAGTGACTGCCCCAACACACAATGCCGTGGACAACGTCATGAGAAGATATCTCACGCGAATCAGCAAAGAAGGGCTCGCGCCAAACTCGCCCGAAACAGCCCCTCTGCGTGTCTCGACCGAAGTCCGAAAAGTAGGCGAGGATTTGCGCAAATACACATGCGACGCCTTGGCCGGCCAAGAGATACACTCCAGCCACGCTGCCCAGCGCCAGGCCAAGCAGCGTGTCAAAGCCGCCACAATCATATTCACGACGTGCATTGGCGCAGGACTGGGGCTGCTCCGAGGCCAAATGTTTGACACGGTGATTGTTGACGAGGCTTCGCAGCAGACAGAGCCTGCGTCGCTCGTGCCGCTTGTAAAGGGGTGTGAAAAGGCGATCCTCGTGGGGGATCATGTCCAGCTAAGGCCTACGGTGCAAGAGTTTTCGCCGGCACTCGGATTTGACGTCTCGTTGTTTGAACGGCTGTATACTCGACAGGGAACAACGCCTGGAATGGCAAAGATTATGTTGGATACACAGTATCGGATGCATCCCTCCATCTGTGGCTTCATCTCAAAGGAGTTTTATGAAAAAAGACTATTGTCCGGGCTAAAGGACAGTGATAGGCCAATGTCGCCTTCCGCCTTTCCTTGGCCAGCATCTTCGACCACCACAATCTCCTCGTCGTCTGCCTCTCGGATGCTCTTTGTCGAGTGCTCTGGGAGGGAGGATCTGGGGCACAAGTCCAAATCCAACAAGGAGCAGGCAGACGTATGTCTTTCAATCTGCAAGCTCCTACGTTCGGCCCCAGCGGCTCCGGCATCTTCTGCTGAAAACCACATCAATGGCGCAAAGCCCGCCGACGTCATGAATAATGATACTACAACGTCTATAGCCGTACTGACGCCCTATTCACGGCAATCGGAGATTCTCAAAAAGCTGCTTTCGGCGATCCCAAACGCCGAAGTCTCCAGCATTGACGGCTTCCAAGGGCGCGAAGCCGACATTGTCATCTTCGTCACGGTCCGCTGCAACGAGAGCCGCGAGATTGGGTTCCTCAAGGATCTGCGTCGCATGAATGTGGCGCTTACCAGGGCGAAGCTGGGGCTGATAATTGTAGGCAACAGGGCGACTCTGACGGGAGGGAGCGAGGAGGAGGAGAGCACAGGGGTGTGGAGGAGACTTATGGGACAGCTTTCTAACGTTGCTCTTTGAGAATCTATGTACGGGGGAATATATAAAGGTTTATATGTATGAAGACCAGAAGCTCCCTCACAACGAGCAGTAGGGAATTTAAAAGGGCAAGCGTTATCATGAAGTGCTTACGGATTGAATATCCGGTGAAAGCTTGACTTGGCCATTGCCTAGAACCAAGCCGTGCAACTTCCGATCATACTGGCCCATAGGCACCGGCTCATCTTTGATGGGATCGAGAAGCTGCTCGGTGAGAGCCAAACCGTAGAATCTCAACACAGGGCCGCTGCTGCCTTCACCTTCATCATGAGGCTTTGCAGCCAAGTACCTGTTGAGGAAGAAATCGTAGAAGCCCTTGCCGTGGCCAAGCCTCCGCACACAGCCCCCATCATCGGTATCAAAGGCGACGCCCGGCATGAGGATGAGGTCCAAGGTAGCCTGGCCTGGCTTGAGCACGTCTGACCCGCCGAGGATGCGCTGCCGCCGATGCACCGTAGCAGGATCTATGCTGGGAATGCCCCAAGAATCTCTCTGGAGGCCGTCATAGTCTTGGACGTCTTGCAGCTGCACCATGTCCATCACACGGGCTGGAGTGCCGGGCTCATCGAGAGGCGACTTGTGCAGGTATGGCACAAAGACTTGCTTTCCAGCGTTCAGGGCATGGCGAACGATGGCGTCGGTCTGGATCTCCCCAACGGGCATGGAGAGGTATACGCTGATGCGGCTGGCATCTTGGTAGGGCTTGAAGTTTTTGAGCGTTTCAAATATTGTGCGGCCTGATTCAGTAAGAGAAGAAAACAAAAGAAGAATTTAATTTTGTATAACTTGTTTTATTAGGGGAGGCTCATACTTTGGGCGAGGACGGATTCCTGAGAGACGGTGGAGAGTCTCTGTTTGATAAGGCGCCTTAGCTGCTGTTTGGCGGCCGCCACTGGAGAGGCCATGGCGATAGCGGCTATCCCAATAGCTGTATCAAGCAATTGCTGGTAAATGAATGTGTATTTCGAGACTACGAATCAAATTGAGCAAGATTGATGTTGCGCCGTGAGATTTGAGTTGGCGGGGAGGTTCGGATCGGAGGGTCCGTGAACCGGCCGGGATTGGACCCGGACAGAAAAGCGTCAGTGCGACGGCACTAAGAAGAGCCGGCTCGGGCCATGGCAGACGCAGGAATGTTGATGTTGCAGCTGTAGCTGTGGCTGTGAGTGTACAGTATGTGCGCAATACACGTAATATGCATGACGATGGAGTATGCGTGGTGGGATCTAAGATGAAGAAGAGCTGTTTTGCTTGTTGTTGCTTGTCGTGTAGAGCTGAAGATGTTATCGATGCTTCATAGGTTGTATGTAGGCTCTTGTCATTTCTGCCCTCTGCCGCGTCCACTCCAAGTATACCAGACTAGATCCTACTCAGGGCGCTGCATGTCTCGCAAGTGTCGCCGACTCTGTGCAACTGCATTCGCCGCAGTACATGTATCAAATCACGCAAGACAGGGCGCTCACATGGCCAAGTGCATGCAGATTCGGATCAAGACTCTCCTGTACGGACATCGGCTCATCCATCATTGCGAATCAAAACCCCAGCGTTATCAGCGGATGCATCAGGGTTGGAAATCCCCAGCCGCCCATTGGAGGCCGCTGTCAAGGGAGGTCGATTTGATATAAATTGCCGGGCACACGGTATGACTAACATGATGGGACTTTTGATCTATCGCCTAGCCGCGTCCGCGGGTCAGATTTCCAGGTGGCACTGCATATGCTATTGGCGGTTATCAGCTGCAACTAACTAGCCCGACGTAACACAGGATTCCATGGCATCGAATGGGAGGACAAGGAAAAGAAACAGGGACGGGAGAGACACCAGGCAACAACACCAGCGCCTCGCAGGATCGCTCAATGTCTCAGCATCGTCACCCGACCAGATCTCGCAGCGCGCTATCCTCGCCATCGACAGCAGCTACAGCAGGCACAGCGGCTTCTAGCGCCCACCATCCCCACTGAGGTCATGGTTTTTCGGCCCCCTCTCCCGGCGCAAAAAAAAAAAAATCTCCATCCCACAATCGCCAGTTTCACTAGATCCTCTCCATCTCTCTGTACCCACATGCGCTATCACAGCTTTCGCTTCCTCATCGCCCCGCCATGGGCCGCCGAGCCAGCGAATCCAGCGACTTGACGACATCGAATGCGAGCGACTCCTTTGCACACCAACATGGAGTTGCGCTGCAGACCCTGGCTCCAGCAGCAATAGCAGCACCAGCACCAGCACCAGCTTCGGCTTCAGCCTCGGCACCACCAGACGCTGTCTCAGTCTCAGTCCCAGTCCCAGACTCAGACTCAGTCGCCGTTCCAGGGATCCCCGTCCGATCCCGCCCCCATTCCCCGTCTCCTCCTCGTGCCAGAACGTCTTCTTATTCCTCAGTCTCCTCCTCTGCCTCTTCCTCCTCCTCCATCATCCAGCATGATAGCTGGCCCTTCAATCTTGGGCTTGACGAGGCTGTAGCCGAGCCCGCTGCTGCTTCTGCTGCCATGGCCTCCTCCAGCAAAGCCGCCAACAAGGCCCTCAGCAAGGCCAAGAACGCAACCGCCACGCCGCCGCTGCTGCCGCACGATGGCCGCCGATCCGAGTCCTCGCCCTACGGCTCCGTCGACCTGACGCCGAACCGCAGCCGGTCACCTTCCGGATCCGATTCCGCCAGTGACCGCCGGCGCCGGCTCCGTCAAACCCGCTCGACCAGCCGCAGCGGCCTCTCCAAGCGGTCCCTGGCTTCTCGGCGGTCGTCGCGCAGATCAGACGACTTTGATGGCGCGGCGCTCGTCTCGGGCCTCGAGGGCCGCTTTGGCATGCCCGAGGCTCTCCTGTCGAGCGTTGTCCTCGACGACCAAGACTTGACCGACGAGGACGGGCCGTTGCTGGGCGACGCCTCTTCAGCCTCGTCCTCGACCGAGATCCCGGACCGAGAGGCCGACGAGAACTCGCCCAACGAGATTGTTCGAGCTTCCGTGTCGCCAATTGACGATACCACGCTCTCAATAAACACCCCGCGCATGTGGTGCCTGTCCATCCTCTTCTCCATCCTCGGCTCCTCCACCAATCTGTTTTTTTCTTTGAGATACCCCAGCGTTGCCATCACTCCAGTTATTGCCTTGTTGCTCGTCCACCCTCTGGGACACTTGTGGGATTACTTGCTAAAGCGGTCGTACGACCCGGAGGAGGAATTCACCGACGGCGTGCGAACTGCCGTATCGTCTCATGGCCACAATGGCCACGGCCAAAAGAAGTTTCTCACGTCGTTGCGCCTGTGGCTCGCCCAGGGGAGATGGAACGAAAAGGAACATACCTGCGTCTACGTGAGCAGCAATGTGGCTTTTGGCTTCGCCTTTGCCACCGATGTCATTGTCGAGCAGACGCAATTCTACAACCAGGAAGCGCCCATCGTCTACCAACTGCTCCTGACCATCTCCACGCAGATTCTCGGCTACGGCTTCGCAGGCATGGCCCGCCGGTTCCTGGTCCGTCCCAGCGGCATGATATGGCCCGGAACCCTCATGTCCGCCGCAATGTTTTCCACCCTCCACAAGCAGGAGAACAAGCCCGCCAACGGCTGGACCATCAGCCGCTGGAAGTTCTTTTACATCGTCTGGACCGGCGCCTCCCTCTTCTACTTCCTGCCGGGCCTCTTGATGCCGGCTCTCAGCTACTTCAACGTCATTACGTGGTTTGCGCCAAAGAGCGTCGTCCTCGCAAACCTGTTTGGCGTTTCCTCCGGCCTCGGCCTCTTCCCAATGACTTTCGACTGGGCCCAAATCACCTACGTCGGCTCGCCTCTCCTGGTGCCCTTTTGGGCTGCCATGAATGTCATTGGCGGTCTCGCCATCGTCATGTGGATCATAGCTCCTCTATTCTACTACAGCAACGTCCTCTACGCATCCTACATGCCCATCCTTTCAACCGCCGTTTTCGACAACACGGGCAAAGTCTACGACGTCAGCAAAATCCTGACGTCCAGCTTCCTCTTTGACAGAGAGGCCTACTCCAACTACAGCCGGGTTTTCCTCCCCGTCACTTACATGCTCAGCTACGGCGTGCAATTTGCCGGCCTCGCCGCTCTCCTAACACACACCCTCTGCTGGCATGGCCAAGACATCTGGCGCACTTGGAAAAAATCCCTAGTCGAGGCGCGAGGGCAGGGCAAAGAAGGATATCAGCACGTATCAGACTCTACCGACCACCTTCCAGCAGGCGTAACGCAGCCTCAGGGCACCCCTCGAGTCTCCTCGTCAGGGTCCCACATAGAAGGCCTCATGAGCCACGAAGACATCCACAGCCGTCTTATGAAGCGATATAAAGACGCTCCCATCAGCTGGTACCTCCTCACTTTCATCTCCATGGCCGCCATTGGCATCTTTGTCGTCGAATAGTAAGCCCGTCTTTTCTTTTTTTTCCCTTGGCCAAATCTTCTCAATCACTCAAAACTAATTTTATCCTCTCAGCTATCCCGTCCACCTCCCCTGGTACGGCCTCCTCCTCGCCCTCGCCATCGGCGCCATCTTCTTCATCCCCAACGGCATCATCATGGCCATCACCAACCAGCACAGCAGCATCTACCTCATCTGCCAGCTCATCTGCGGCGTCGCCTTCCCCGGCCGCCCCATTGCCAACATGGTCTTCGTCACCTACGGCTACATCTCCTCCGCCCAGGGCATCAAGTTCGCCTCGGACCTCAAGCTCGGCCACTACATGAAGATCCCGCCGCGCATCATGTTCCTCGTCCAGATCGTCGCCACCCTCGTCTCCTCCGTCACCCAGATCGGCGTCCTCAACTGGATGTTTGCAAACGTCCGCGGCATCTGCACCCCCGACGCCGTCAACGGCTTCACCTGCCCCATTGCCCGCGTGCACTTCAACGGCTCCATCCTCTGGGGCGTCGTCGGCCCCGGCGAGTTCTTCGGCTCCTCCGCAATCTACCGCTCCCTCGTCTGGTGCTTCCCCCTCGGCGCCTTCCTGCCCATCCCGCTGTGGCTCTACAGCCGCCACAAGAAGCACAGCCTCCTCCGCAAGGTCAACCTGCCCGTCATCTTCGGCGCCATGGGCTGGATCCCCCCCGCCACGGGGCTCAACTTCTCCGTCTGGGCCCTCGTCTGCTTCCTCTTCAACTACCTCATCAAGCGCCGCGCAAACGCCTGGTGGGGCAAGTACACCATGACCCTCAGCGCCGCCCTCGACTCGGGCCTGGCCTTTGGCATCGTCATTGTCTTCTTCGTCTTTATATACCCCGGCTGGATGAAGGACTTTAGCTGGTGGGGCACCGAGGTCTTCAAGCAAGGCTGCGACTGGCAGGCTTGCTCGTACAGGACGGTCAAGGAGGGCGAGCGTTTTGGGCCTGAAACGTGGTAGACGAAGAAAAGGGAATGAAAGAAGAAAAAGAGTGGCACATAATAAATGACTTGTATAGATATGGCGATTTTTCAGGATACCTGTGTACAGTATAGATTTTTATGTCGAGGAGTTTTTGGATATGAACATGTATTACAAGCTACCATTACTGCAAATGTTGCAATGATGAATACGATATAACAAATGAACTCACAAGGGTCCACTGCATAAAACTACTGATAAAGGTATATATATTCAATCATATAACCATGGAAAATAAGAGAGTAGCAAAATGGAGAGAAAACAACATCACGAAGAAATCCATCAATATATAGACATTTGTTTTTGTAGTTTATATTATTTCTCTTGGCGCACAAGGAAATTACTATGGAGCCCCTCCCCTCGAACCCTTTCAATCCTCGTCCGATCCATTGAAATTTCTATACTGTGTAACCTCTCCAGCCTCATTCAATGCTCTTTATTTTGTTTTACTGCTCTGCTTGCCATTCAGGATTCTGCAATAACAAATGTGTTAGTCAATGTGCCGTACACCTTGTACATGTTAAATTAAAAAAAGGGATTAAAAACTAACCTTTCGCAGAATCACCAGGCCCTCCAAGGTATTGGTAAGGCTAATGTACTCCTCGTCTTCCAACTCTGCTCGGTCACCATAACTCAGCAGCACGGGTGTGCTCTGTGTCTGCCATCCCGTAATCGTCTTCGGTCGACCTGCCTGGCCAACAACGTCTACTGCCTGACCAACCCGGACATTGACCTTCAGGGGGTTCAATTTCTCATCGACGGTGACAAGGAATCTGGGGTGCATGGCGGGCACGAGAAAGTAGAGAAGATAATGAGAGTTTGAGGTGATGAAATCCTTTGGGTCAAGCATAGCCACCATTGTAGCCAGCAGACCAGCCGTCGAGACAGGGGAGAGCACCTGTCTGTCAGAATGGAAGGGGTTCAGGGAGAGTGTTCCCTTACCCAGATGCAGGAGGCCCTGTGCGATGCGCACCATGAACAGGGCATCCTGATCCCTGTGGTAGTAGCTTGCGAGCTGTCGAAGCAGCTGGGCCAATCGAGCATTGTTAGTGCCAGCGCCCAGCAGGCCCATGGCGAATATGGCGTTGATGGCTACTTCAGGATCATTGTCGTGACTATATCTTGAAAGCGTATCGTAAACCTTCATCTGCGGGTTGCTTGGGCTGATCAGGCCCATTGCCAGGGGCACAGCCTTGCGAATGTTGGGTTCACCATAGTGCATAAGGTGGCCAAATTGTCTGAGAACCATCTCCTGTCCAACTTCCTCGCCCATGGCCACAAGCGCAATACCCAAAACTGCATATGCTTGCAACAGTTCATCGCCCTTCTTATCTTCCGATTCTTCCTGGTGCTCATTGCAGATGTGTAACAGCTCTTGGATCTTCAGAACAGCGCCAGTACCAGCCCAAGCACAGATCTCGGCCAAGACGGCGGTCGGCTTGGCCATGGGGTGGTCCACGGCTTTGAGTGTCTCCAGAATAACGTCCACCTCTTCCTGTCGGCCAAAGAAAAGCAGGCCCAGGCCCAGGCCCAAAAATCTTGTCCATTTGTTAGTCAACTGGTTCTTTCGCTCATCATCCATCAAAGTCGTGATGATAGCTTCGCTGACTTCGGGGTGAGATGTGCCAATAGCAATAAGACCACAAGCCAATGCAGCCATGGCGGAGATCTGCATATCCTGGGTAGAATCTGCAATCATGGGCATGAGCAGCTCAATAACCTCATCCTTACTTGAGCCGGCGTAAGCCAATCCAAGACCCATCAAGCAAGCAGTGCGAATCAGAGGATTGTCGTTGTGGAGCTTGTCGGCATCGCCCAGGAGCGCAATGGTGGGCTCGGATTCTATCCGAACACCAGAGTTCATGATACCAATGGCAAGCATGGCTCCAGCGGTAATCTCTGGCTCCGAAGCGTATGTGTACCGATCAATGCTGTCCAGACCATTCTCAATATCCCACATCAACAAAGTGCCAAGAGAGGCAACAGTTGACATCATACCCTCTCCCTTGGTCTTCCACACCCAAGCCTCCTTCTGGCTCTCGACAAGCATCATCTTGTCGTTGCCAAATCCAGCGTTGACAAAAGCGTTGACAAAGGCAGCAGCAAGATTGTGTCTAGCAGAGTCCAAGTTGGTCATGCCGGCTACGCGGCTGCTCTCCAAGTGGCTCTTGTAGATATCTTCGGTAGTCTTGGGGTCGAGGATGTTCAGCTCCTTACCCAGAGCTTTGAAGTGATCAGACAACTTAATGTTATGAAGACACTCGAATAGCTCCGGGTCATCGCCCTCGCCCTCGTTAATCATTGGCAGGATGATCCTCTGGCGTGAGATCAAGAACGCCAGCTGTTTCTTCAATACAGGATCCTCCGCCTTGTCGAAATCTTCCTGCACCAGGTCGATGTCATGTAATCGAATGGCAAGAATAACTGCTTGAGCGAACTGCTTGTGTTTGATGTAGATGTCGTGGGCGACACGGAGGAACGTCTCATTATCGGGATAAGTCAACAGGTTCACCATGCTGACCATGTACAAGCACACTCTGGGGTAGGTGTTCTCATCAACGAACTCGTTCATCTTCTCGATGATTTCCAGCTCGCTCATCAGGTCCACTGCGTCAGCCTCCTGGTTGCTCTTGATGAAAAGAGGTACCAAGATCAACGCCAGGTCGATGAGATCCGTTGTGGGCTCGTCAGCCGTGATGCGTTTGCTGTACACCTCTCCGATTTCGAGGGCCAAGTGCCGGACATATTCGTGACCCCATGAACCAATGTCAGTTGTAGGAGCCAAAAGCCGGTACTTGAGTGTGTCTTGTCTATCCTCGTCGGAAAAGGTCATGCCAATGACGGACAGGACGTCCGCCAGTGATACCTTGTTCTCATCGTTGGGCCACTCTTCGTAGAGCTTAGTTAGGGTCTCGTAGTGCGGTCGTAGAAACTTCAGCGGCTTCGGTACTGCTGTCATTGACGATGTGGAAGTCTTGATGGCGCTCTTCATCATCTCGAGGGCGGATTTGTAAAGGGTGCTGTCGAGTTCCTAAGTCAAACAATGACAAAAAGCGTCAGCAACTACTCCGCGTCCAAAAGCCAACAGCTGCCCCTCTTTCGTCTTCTCCTCGTCTCCCTTCCTCTCCTCTGCAAGTGTATCTAGAATACTCACTGTTAAACGCTCTACCATCATGTCCAGCTCGCTCTTGAGCTGCTGGTCTTCTTCGCTGAGCTCCTCTTCGGTCGCTAGAACCCTTCAAGTCAGCCATCGAAACACTCGCAATTTCGAAGAGCGGGGGAGCGTGTGGATGCCAAGTATTACCATCTTTCTTGTCATCCTCCTTCTTGCCGTCGGCAGCAGTCTTCTCGGCCTTGGGATCATCTACGGCCTTGCCCTTGCCCTTGTCCGCAGCCGCCGCCGGCTTTGGCAAATCGCTGTCCTGGGCCATGGTGACGTAGAGAGAGGATTAGGCGTCTATGGTGAATGAACCCCCCCAAGCAGAATATCGGGGGCGAGGTCGAGTTTATAGAGATGAAACTGCAGAACGAAGCTGATTGTCTGTAATTGTGCAGTATCGGAGCTCCGGCGAGGCTGGCGGTCTTTGTTGTGAGCGGAATCGGGTGGAAGCTGTGAAGGAGGCTGCTTGGTAAAGCTCTGGCTGGGCTGAGGCGCTACTCTACTCACAGCTGCCATGGGCTATTACGCGAGGCGCTGCCGCCTACAGGACGAGCTACGTATCTGAACCCCAGCCTTATGATCACGTGCCATGGCCGCGAGAGCAAAGCCCGCTAGTATCAACTAGGGCTAGTGACACCATCCTGGTTCAGTCTGGGTTATCGATAAGATCCTGGCCAAATTTCTTCCATCACCTTGCTTGGGCAGACCCCACCAACTTTTTCAAAGGACCCCTCTACTGTGATGAAGTAGATACAAGATACCCGCATCCGAAGAGTTTCAAGGTCCAATAACTGTGTTTTGAAGAGATATTGAGGGAAAATTTGTTATATCCAATCCATATAGCCAGCCATGAAGTTGGACACCCGAGCAATGCGCCATCTGGCGTCCGAGGACTGGCGAGTTCTCACAGCTGTATGTTCAACATCCACTCACATGCAAATATCAATATACACATCTATATCTCTATATAATCCAAACACACCACTAATTATATCCTCTACCACCATAATAGGTCGAAACAGGCAGCAAGAACCACGAAATCGTGCCCACCCCTCTAATAGAAAAACTTTCCCGCCTCCGAGGCGGCGCAAGCGGCGTCCACAGGAGCATCTCTTCCCTCGCCAAAGTCGGCCTCATCGCCCGCGTCAAAGAGGCCAAATACGACGGCTACCGCCTGACATACGGAGGCCTCGACTATCTAGCACTACACACGCACGCCAGCCGCAAAGATGTCTACAGCGTCGGTAACCGCATCGGCGTCGGAAAGGAAAGCGACATCATGGTCGTCGCAGATCACTCTGGCAAGCAGTGCGTGTTGAAGATCCATCGCCTAGGACGAATCTCTTTCCGAACGGTCAAATCCAACCGAGACTACCTCAAGAACAAAAATGCCCAATCATGGATGTATCTCTCAAGGCTCGCCGCCATGAAAGAGTACGCCTTTATGAACGCGCTCCACGAGGAAGGCTTTCCCGTGCCGTCACCCATCGCACAATCCAGACATACCATTGTCATGTCCCTCATAGACGCATTCCCTCTTCGACAAATAAGCGAAGTGCCCGACCCAGCCTCTCTCTACGCAGAACTCATCTCGCTCATCCTCCGTCTGGCGAGCCACGGCCTAATCCACGGTGATTACAACGAATTCAACATCTTGATCAAGGAGATTAAGTCAACAGCTGAGGACGGCACAGAGTCTATCAAGCTGGAACCAGTCATTATTGACTTTCCACAGATGGTGTCTATGGAGCATGTGAATGCCGAAATGTACTTTGACCGAGATGTCAACTGTATCAAGCGCTTCTTTTTACGTCGATTCCACTTCACTCCTACGCAGCCCGGGCCTTTCTTCAAAGACGCAAAGAAGACTGTCGGTAAAGATGGTCTCAAGCGGCTAGACGCTTCAGTAGAGGCATCGGGCTTCACCAAGAAGATGCTAAAGGACCTCGAGGCTGCCATTAAAAAGAAAGAGGCAGACAAGGAGGGGCAAGAGGGTGCAGAAGACGAAGAGGATGAAGACGAAGATGAAGACAGTTCAGAGGAAGAAGAGGATTCAGAAGCAGATGGACATGAAGGAGAGGGGAGTGGCAGTGGCAGTGGACAGGAGGGTTTGCTAAGCGATGGTCTGTCTCAAAGCCTCTTGCAAGAGGAGCCATCCATAAGCAAAGTCAACAAAGAGATGGCAGAGTTGGCAGTATAATCTTTGTCTTGATCAAAATCTAATGAATGAAGGAAACTGGCAAGCGAAAAATAGAAAGCATAATTTCTTAGAGTCACAATAAAATAGAAGATACGAGCACTACCCGAGTGATGGTATAATACAGTCTCATCATTGTGTGTTTGTGTGCGTCAAAACGATACTAACGCCGCCAAACTTTTACCACAGCTACCATTACCTAGACTCTAAAGTACACAAGGCACATAAAATGATCCCCCCACACAATTTAGTCCCACGTATCAGCTATCCTCCGGTCCTAGAACAATGTTTTCCGCCATGGCATAAAAACTGCTTTGACTGTTGGGGTAAGTGGTCCCAAAAAAGTCCAAAACAAGTAGTAGTAGAGATGTTAAAGCAGCCGGCATCATATTATGGCACAAAAGTGCTGACAAAAAAAAAGGCAAAAAAGGAAACGAATGAAGGTGACATGGCATATTTACTGGGACTCCTTCTTCGGGGCCTCCTTCTTGGCAGATGGAGACGGCTGGACATTCTCTTTGCCGGTGGCGACGACAGTGGCTGGCTCCGCTCGAATCGTAACACTCTCATCGCACTCAGACGTGGTGGGAGTCGAAATCGTAGCGTCCGCGCTCGTAGTCGCCCTAGCGAAAGAGTCAGAATTTAGCAAAAGTGCTTCGTTCATAGGCGTACCCAGATTGTCCACGAGGGATCACTGAGCTTCGCGTCACGCTGTCTTCGAGCGACGAGGACGACAGGCCGCTGCGAGGGTTAGCAGCCGGACATGATATTAGGTGATAGAAGCAAACCTTCGAGACTGGGGCAGATTGCGTCGCCATTGAGATTGCTGGTTATACAAGGCAGGGTTCAAGCCAACAAGAGGAGTACCGTAGGCGCCAATATTGTACTCATTGGTGCGGAACTGGCGACGCTCGGCGGTGACTCTCTTGAGCTCTTTCTGAGCTGGGGTATCCGCGTAACGAATGTTCATTGGAAGGCCTTCCTCGCCGATGCCAATGCCGTTGAACTTTCGAACGATCTCGTCGCAAATGTCTCGAGAATCGAAGCTAGGCGGTGTCAGAGTGAGGGAATTCTAGAAGGTGAAGTCTGGGAGCCTTACCGAGCAAAGCCGACGCCGCGACTATTTCCCATGCTATCACGAAGGATCTTGCTGGATTGGATGTGGTATCCAAGGAATATGGTTGCAAGTTCCTACGCAAGTGTCAGCAGCAGCTATGCAAAATGAATACACCCAATAACTGGCTCACCATTTCGTTCAAGCTCTTGGGCAGGTTGGAGATGTAGAGGTTAGTAGAGCCATCATCTCCTTCCGCCTTGAGTCGAGAGTTGAAAGATTCCTACAGGTAATTAGCCAAAGGCCCCATAGAGAGCGGCCGAAGAACAAGAAGTGCATGATTGAATCTTACCCGGGCAAAGCCAATCTCGTAACCAAGGCGGTGGAAAGCGCGAATGCACAGTTCAGAGTCGCGAACGTCATAGAACTTGGCAAACCCAAATCTGCATCATGTCAGTATCAGAGGAATGGAGGAGAGAGATGGCTGAAGTGAGTAAAACCTACCCCTTACAAGCTCCAGTGTTAGTGTCGATGATGGCCTTGGACGTCTCAACAGCGCCAAAGCGAGAAGTAAAGTGGTACAGAAGCTCATCGTCTGTGGTGGGATGAAGACCACGAATGTACACATTGCGATTGCCTGGGATGCGATTCTCCAAACTCTGTTCAAGAGTCTTCATCTGGCCGGGTGGAGTGAAGACAGCTGGCACAGCTTTGGGAACAACCGGCTCCTTCTTGAGAAGATCATCAATGGTGCGGTCCGAGATGACAATGGGTACGGGTTTGCCAGTCTCAATGGGAGCAAGGCTAGTAGCGTTGGGAGACGGGGTCGTATAGGAAGACCGATCGAGACTAGCCACTCGAGGAGGATAGTCGCGAACAATGGAAAATGCACCGCCGTAGTACGGGGTGGCAGGGGCAGACTCTGTAGTAGAGTATGAGCCACGACGATTCTCAAGGCCTGGAACATCAGAGTGGCCACGATCCACACGAGGCTGAGCATTACCAGGGCGGCCAGGGGTAAAGGGCAGCAGAGGCGCAGAAAGGCCGACGTAGGAAGTACCATAGCCGCCTGGAGCAACTGAGAAATTCAGATATGGGTTCTCGTTGGAATGACCAAGCCCCATTGGCTGAGCGGCCGGAACGGGAGTGAGGACGAATTGGCTATCCGAGTTTACCATGAATGCATGGCCGGGTCCCATGGGGATGGGACCCCCATTGTTAGGCATACCCATGCCGCCGAGCGTCATTCCATTGAAGTGATTAAGAATTGTGCCGGGATCCGCAGCTCCGTGAGAGGCTCGGCCGGTGTAGTAAGGATTAGCAACGCCGCTGTTGGCTTCCATTTTGGATTCGGCAACAGTGTGGAGATGGTAAGACATGTGATTGCCTGTTGAAGACGAGGTTAGTGATGCGTTGCAACGTAGAATATGTATGTTGCCAAAGACCGATGTTTTCCGTTGAGTAGAGATGGACAAAGCCGTGAGATGTTTGTAGACATCCGCAGCATGTACCACTCCATTGTCCAACGGCCAAATGAAGCAATGTGTTTGGGCCAAAGAAAAGCAAGAAACACACTGGTGTTCTGAGCAGGGGATGGTATGGAGCAACCAAATGCAATCCGAGGTGCCTTACCCAAAGAACAACAGATCTGCCACAGTAGTGGTCGAAAGAAAAACGAGAAATGATTCGACTGTACGACGAAAATCTTGAACCAAACAAAGAGTTAGCATCGAATGATGAACATGGCCAAGGCAGAGCACAGCATTGCACAAAGGCTATCGTGTGTCGGATAGACAGGAGGATAGCGAGCGATAGATGAAGATTTCATGGAGAGCAAGGGGAGAATATGCAAGAAGAATCAATCATGGGGCGAGGAGGAGCAACAAAAAGAAGGGTAGTCTGGATGGTCCATCTACATGGTGGCAGATGCCGGGAATTGATGGCAAAGGATGCTGTATCAGGGCAAAGGAAGAGAGAGGATGAGGGAAGCAGAAGACTGGGAGCAGGGACGAGTCATTCGAAGATGTGCTTACCCTACCCAGACTTTGGGTTTACGTGGTGTTGCAGACAATGAAGCTCGAGGGCCAACGAAGGCAAATGGTGCTACCAAGACAATTGAGATGAAGCGAGAGTAATTAAGATAGAACAAGCTATCAAGCAAGATGAAGGTGGTGAAGAGATCCGGCCGCAGCAGAAAGCTGAAAGTGAGTGACGAGGAATGTGGTGATGTGATGCTGTGAGGAGGAAAAGGAAGAAGAGAAGAGAAGAGAGAGAGGCAGAAGAGAAAGATGTAGAGACAGAAGAAGCGTAGCCGAGAACGGCAGAATCGACCTACCTAAGCTGGATGTAGCAATGCGGTGGCCTCGCAGAAACGGAAGCCGCAAAAAAATTAAGACCAAGAAAAAGGAAGGAGTCGTTGTGATAAGCTATGCCAAAGAGTCGGAGCCGAAGTTGGTGCAGGCGTGATGGCTGCGAGTTTCGAGGCCGGAATGACCACCAAGCAAAAAAAGAACGAGTGTGAGGGAGGAAGAAATGGCGAGTGCGAAAAGAAGCGAGAGATGACGAAATACTCTCAGGCTAGAGCAGAGTTTTTTGGCAGGCTGGTGCTCAACGACTGCCAGCTGTTTGTCGGTTCGGGTCTGTTGCCCGTTTGTTGATGCCAGGTGCCTGCCGACGATGTGCTGTTTCTAGGGGCAACAGACGCCTCGACGGAAGTTTCTGGGCGCCTTCGAGGCAAGAATTGAAACTCTGTCACTCTAGCTCTGGCCCAGAAGAGTCTGGCAGTGAGGTATCTTCTTTTTGCCAAGTCTGCAAAGATGGAGAGCGGTACTTGGGCGTCGTGGAAGCTTCAAGTTGTTCCTTCAGAGTGTACGTACCATGCGGATGGATTAGTGTTTTTCTTCTCTGTCCCTAGCACTGATATCTCTGGATAGTTGTCTCGCAGTTTGCGAATATCGACTACCGATACTGCTTCGAAGTCGGATCCAACACGCAATTTCTTCGTGTCAGCCGAGTCGTTTTCCAAACCGTTCTTTCGCCTTGGAATCAATACAATATCCCCGAAACGCAAAATTGACCAACAGGAATCCTTGATTCCATCAAACGCAGAATGAGAATGCAAAGCTGCTACTTCAAACGTATATTCACAAATTGCAACACAGTGGCCATGGAGCGTCAAGTAACGAAAGTATAAAGGAGCGATTTGGGCCTGGCAGACTAGTAGTTCAGATAAAGATGCAGTCGAGTCAAAATAGAGCACTCCGTACTCAAAAGAGAAAAAGGAACGAGTGTGATAGGTATATTCTTTGAAAAGGCTTTGCGCGCTGGCATCTTGTCCAGGGATCCTGTCTTTATAAGGACCACACCAGGGTGGAATATACTTGCACAAATGCAGGCATTATCAAAACACCTAGTAGGTAAATGCATGCATTGATGCTACCGGACAGAACTTTGCTTTTTCCTCTTTATCAGACATGCGTAGCCGTGGTTCACCATTGGAGAGGCAAGGTAAATTGGCCAACCGGATTGCTGGACTTTGCTGAGACAAGATCCATCTTGGCCGGAAGACTTCCCCATACCGCATACAAATGCCCGTTAAAGGGTCTTTTCTCCACTTGACAACCCCAGCATAGATGCACGGGGTAGGCGGCAAGCCGGTCAATATGAGTCAACTTACAAGCCATTGGTGAAGCCGGCTTTGTAGGCCCATTTTACTAAGACATGCTGTTGCTTTGTCCAACGGTCGATCCAGTGCTTTGGGGGAGATGTTGCTTTTTATGGTACTTGGGCAAGACTTTTGATGCTATTGTTTCTCTCGGTCACCACCTATATATACACTTGGCTTGTTTCTCTTCTTGCCATGGTTAGCTCAGGGCAGAACGGAAGCCGAAATAGGTGATACTCCAAACACGGCATCGCGGAAAATCTGACGATTCATCTCTTCGTATATAACAAGATATTCATTTCCAAAGATTCAACAGTTCTCACATTTTCACTTACTGTAGCATTGGGCTCTCACGTCAAATGCCGATTCTCGGGACGTGGCAAGGGAAGTATAAGCAAGGAGAGCAGCGCAATCCCGCTTATCTATCTCCCTGGCCAAGAAATGGCCAATCCAAAGCCGCTACCTTAGCAAAGCGCCAACTACTTGTACAGCAGCCATTCAGCTTTGCCACTTATCCTTGGCTATGTAAAGATAAAAAGGAAAGAAAAAAAAGTAAATTGGCTCTCAGGGGTCAAAAGCGCCACAAACATACTAGTTTTGGTAACAGGTCGTATATAGGTAGAATTCAGTGGCTGTGGATATGGGACCTCCTCCACTTGCATCATGCCCTGTCTTATACATCTCCCGTCTCGGTGTATCTAACTTAATCGGCCGGCAGGATGCTATGCAATACTTACAAGGTGAGACACTATAATTATAAAATGAGCATAATATATAGATTAAATCTGTAAATACAGTATTTTCGTAACCATCCTAGCCTGCACATTCCCTGTTTTTGTTTCTTTATTTCCCCTACCCGATCATATCCAAGCACATCTCATACCCGTATAACACTACTCCGTATCTATTCATCCTACCATCCCACGCAGCATGAATAATGACATCGAAAACAAAAATCCCCATGCAAGTGCGCTATTCAGGCAATTCCTGCTATGTAACCTCTAGATCCGAAGCCCAGATAATACGGGTCTGTTCTAATAATGATGATAATTAAAAAAACAAAAACGAGACAATTTCAGATGTTTGTGCATGGCTTCCATAAACAAACGCCCGCCAATGTGATCGCAATCGAAAATGCCACGCCCCCTCCCTTCTCGGCATGAAATTTTATATAATTTGCCTCTTTTCTGAAAGGGGGGTTAGGCTTGCGTTGATCAACTAGTAGTGCTAAATGCACTTGATTTTTTATGACCAGACATCCTCCTATTAAAGAATGGTGAATTAGCTTGCCGTTTGTTTCACGGTAGGGTGGAGGGGAGTGTTCAGAAGAGGGGGGAAATAGGGGATGAGACATACCTGGTACTGGTTTGCTGCTCTCATGTTCTTGACAATCTCCTCTGCCTTGGCCTCGGACACACCACGGCCCTCGGCAATGATTTGCGCAAGGACAGTGTTGACTTCGCGAGCCATGTTAGCGGCATCACCGCAGACATAGAAGAAGGCCTTTTGAGAGAGAAGCTCGTTGACTTCGGCGGCTCGCTCCTTGAGACGGTGCTGGACGTAAACCTTTTTGGAAGTCTCTCGAGAAAAGGCAGTAACCAATTCAAATTTGTCGCCAAGAGCTTTCTTGTATTCCTACAGGTAGTGAAAGAGACATTAATTAGTGAATCATACAAACATTTAAGGGAATGGTGGAGATACATACCGCAAACTCTTCCTCGTACATGAAATCCTCTGTGCTCTTACGGCAGCCGAAAAACAGCATCGTGCGTCCAACGTTTGCGCCTTCGCGGGCTTGCTGAGCTCTCTCTTGGACGAAACCTCTGAAGGGAGCAACACCAGTTCCGGGACCAATCATGATGATGGGCTTGGCAGGGTCGGAGGGCAGCTTGAAGTTGGAGTGGCGGACATGAACAGGGACATGAATGCCGTCGTACCTGTTGCGGGGACCGTGGAGTTCGTAGGTCATACCAAAGGGCGATGGGTTGGCGTCTCCGTTTTGCTTTTGCTTCAAGGCCAGCAGGTAGTTGGTGGCGACACCACGGAAAGGATCCTTTCGTCCCATTACTACGGAGGACTCTACAACAGCAGTAACGGAAATCTTCTTGGGCTGGACGTGAGAGGAAGACGAGATGGAGTAGTAACGGGGCTGCAGCTTGTTCAGGCCTTCGATGAAGGCAGAAAAGGGAATCTTATCCCAGGTCTCTCCGTTGCTGACATGTTCCAGGAGGCGAGCGATGTTGAAGAGCTGAGAGCCGGTCTTTTCGTGGAAGTAGTCCTTGTCGTTACCCAGTCTGTTCATCTCGGCCTGGACGGCCTCGTTGGGAGCGAAAGCGGCAAGAGTGGAGACAAATTGGCGAGAGACGGGAGCACAGATTTCGAGGTGATAACGGACGATGGCGTCGAAAGTTGTCGGGGTAGGGAAGGGAACCTTGGCAGTGGGCTCGAGAGCCTTGACAGAGACGACTTGGCCGCGCTTGTCAGTGAGGCCAGTAACGCGCAGGAATCGATCGACCTCCTCGCCGGCATTGGTAGGCCAGATGGCAATGTGGTCGCCGGTAGTGTACGAAAGAGTCGAGCCGCTGATGTCGAATTCCAGGTGGATGCAGTTCCTGTCCTTGACCTTGAACAGCTCGTAGGACTCGGCAATGGGGGCAATATACGGGTTGTGGGCGTTGAAAGGACCCTTGGCGGTGTTCTGAAGGTGCATCTTGTTAGGCTCGCCGACGTACACCTCAGGAGACTCAGCAGTCAGGCCTTCACGGTCGGAAATGGCAAAGATTGGCTCGTAGACGGCCTCGCGCTCTTCCAGGCCCATGTGGGCAGCGAGAGCAGTCCACATGGGGTCCTTCCAAGCCAGAAAGTCTTCTTCCATTGTGCCAGCGCCATCGTCACCTTCGCCAGCAGCGCCGATACGGTGGGCGCCCAGCTTGGTCAAGAGCCTGTCGACCTCTCTAACCATGGTGTTGTAGTGCTCGTAGGTGTTGTTGCCAAGACCGAAGGCGACGTAGTTGAGGTTGCTCAGCGGGGCGTCTTCGTCGCCCTGCGAAAAGCTGACACCGTCTTCCTTGATGTACTCGAAGAATTCAACCGCATTGTCAGTCGGCTCGCCCTCGCCATAGGTGGCCAGAACGAAGATGGCGATTTTGTCCGAGGGCAGTGTATCCATGGCGTCGAAATCGTATTCTTCCAGGTCGGCGATCATGGTCTCGAGACCGAAGCGGCTCTTGCCCTCCTTTGCGAGACGAGAGGCATAGTCCTCAGCGGTGCCGGTCTGCGAGCCAAAGAAGATGATGCAGTTCTTGCCAGACTCGTCCATCTTCTCGACAAAGTTTCTGGTCCGGGCAGGCCTGGCGGCCATGCCATTGGCGTTGTTTGCGGCGGCATAGGGGTCCTTCTGCTTGCCCCAGAGCGAGCCCTTTGTGAAGTAGGCGATGCTTCCCAAAAGGATGACTCCGAGGACGAGGATGTCCAACGTGTCCAGTTCCGCCATGGCGGCAGCGGGGTTGCACCAGCAACAGACGACGACTTGGCTCTCGTTGAACACCGAACTTGAGGCAGTATTCAACAGAAATCAAAGTATAAAAGCAAGATGCTCAAAAGAGTGTCTCGCTACAAAATCCCCTTGCAGCTGAGAGATCAAGCAGAAAGAAAAGCGTGTCCTCGCCTGGCCGTGATCGGTTTAAGGCTGAGATCAGCGCAGCGGTTTTTGCGGGCAGCGTCGGCGAGTTGCCTGTCGGCGAGTTGCGGTCTAGTCCAGGACGGAACTCAGAACGGGGGAGGGGCTTGAGGCCAGCGAGATTTGATGGTGGGCCGTGGCGTAGAATAGAAAAAAAAAGAAATCGACTGATCGATAAGAGAGCGAATTCGAGGTTGCTGGCCGCTAATGTACGATTAAGTGCCTAGTCCGAATACGCAGCCAGGTTCAAAGCCACAGGCTTATGGCGTATTTGATACCATGTACTGTACAGTACGCGCGGTTGGAAATGACGCCGCACTCTCCGGAAACCTGTCGCGGGGGGTTAGGCGAGAGAGACGAGGAGAGATGGAGAAGAAATGAAAAATTGGCGGAAGATGAAGAAAAGGAGGAGAGAAAGAGTTGTGAATAACCATTGCCAGGGGCGGCGGTGCCTTTTCATCTGATGCTCCAGTCTGGTCTCCAATACCATTCCAGCCCCAGCTTACTACAAGGTGCCAATCAGCCTTTGGCGGCGCGGCTTAAGCCCCGGAGCTTGAATCCGGCTGCAGCAATTCCGGGACGGTGAGCATTTGGCGCTCATCGTTCAGGTCAAAAGCTGGCCAGTGTGTACCGCATGTACGCGCGTGGCAACGATGCCCCGGCCTACGCATGTGCTCGCTGACGCCATCATCGAGATGCTAGCGCAGAACAATGGAGGTGCATAGTACATAGTTGAAGCCACGTTGTATCCATCTACGACGTATAAAGGAACCTACTATCTAGATACTTGGCAGCATCAAGAGCCCGTGTTGTTGGCCATACAGAGCCAGAGAGAGATCCAAACATCAGCTGCCCATGAGTCCTTTTACCGTCCCCGTTGCCGGCACTCAAACGCACTGGTCACCTTGTATCTAATTTACCCCGGTGCACTCTTTGCGGGGTGAGTAACTTGAGGTTGCCAATGCAAAGGTCGATGAGGCATCGTTAGTGGCTCCTAGGCGTGGGAATGCCCGGCACGGAGGACGGGAATGGGGTATCAAGTAGGGGCCGTGGCCGCGGTGTCGGCGCCGTCGGGTCAACGAACGGCACTTGGAGTGACTGTTGGGGTACGGGGTTTAGCAGCATTCCGCCTATGGAATCGGCTGTACTTCCTAGGTATCTTTGATTGAGCTCGCAGTTGAGCGTGCGACATATATGAAGTAATACCTATGCCGCGGCATAAGAGGAAAGGGGGGAACTGCCTCAGAAGCAACGCATCTGCCCAGCTGCGTAGATACTTGAGTTGGAATCAATCGCCAAATTATGAATGCATGTCAAGGTGGGCTGCGCCAGTTAATAAGACCTCGGACGTAAGATGCTAAGCTTACTACCAACTCTGCTGCTTGCCCGTCTATCTTATTACTCTTATTACCTCACCTAGTGTATTACTCGTACGAGCATGGAAGCATACAGTAGTAAGCTTTCGTGCAAGCAAGCGGCTTATTAGTCGTCATTCACGATTGATCCCAGACGAGAGGCTCGGAACATAATAGCATGATACTCTTGGAACTCGCTCTCTGTAATGCATGCCGCCACTGCCGTCGGCCGCTAATTGCTCCATGCATCTTGGGTGCAATAGACCAGCTACAAGCGAAGATTTCCTCATGGATAGTAGCAGTACTAGTATCCGTACCTACCTACTTCCTAGATAGGCCTACTAGATAGATTGCCGCGATCTCTTCCCGGCACGTCTGTCTTGGGTGGTGCTACGTCCGGATTCGGGAAGTCCGCGGGGAAAGGCTATAGGCGAGTCAACCGCAAGCCACCGAACAAAAAAGACACCTTTGATTCAACGACCCCAGATGGAGAGACGCTCACAAAGATGAAAGGAGATCTATCCGCCCTCTCCCGAAATATACCAAGAATAGCCGATTCCGGCTCATACCAGAGATGTTGTCGCCGCCTCTGTCGCTTAGACTAGGTACTCCTTGCTTAAGGACGCACCATCCAGCACTATTTGGATGGATGGCATGTCGCACACCAACATCGCCTAAGCGGGCGGCGCTGCGCATAGTCACCTGAGTGCGTCGCATATAGTTGCTACAATCTGGGGTGAAATCTTTTTAAAATTTAATTGATACTTATTATGTCACGCCCTTTTGACCTACTTATTGACCAGATTGAGCTGAATGTGTGTCAAGTCATCGTGGTGACAGATGCTCTTGAGATGCTGCTTCGAGGCGACAATTAGCCACAGGGGCTACCCTAGAAATGTTGAAGCAACCTCCACTCCGAGTCTCCTGTCTCTCCCTTACAGTACACGGCGTCCAACCAAGACAAGCAACGGTCAAAGCGCCCTCCCCACAAAACAGATTCACGAGCTCAGAGACAGCCGCGAGAGCCAACACCAAGCGGCCAAGACAAGATGATGCTATCCAGAATCCGACCTAGCTCCGCATCCCGGAGGACCCTTAATCCGCGACCAATCCCCAGCCTCCATCTGCCCCTCCCTTCGTCACGTCGTCACATCTGATAGGACCAGCCAACGGCCCTTGCAGCTCTCGCGAGACAGTTTCTAAGCCCAGGCGGCTGGGAAACGAAGAGCAAAAGCGCCCAAGCTGGACCCTATAAGGAATTAGTCTCGCTCGCGCAGCGTAACGGGGAGCCAAGCTACCTAAATTGACGACTAGCATAGCATCCTGCTGTGTTTCCCAGCGTTGTGCTTCCCGGCTGCGGCCGTGACATCGTAACTGGCTGATAGCTGCCCGCCAAATCAAGAAGCTCCAGGATTTCAGGTCGCCGTGGGCTTTGCAGCCGGAGACGCTTGCTCGGCAGCGCATGCTCCATAGGCATATGATGGGATTGGGCTGTGGTCCGCTTCGAGATGGGTGAGTCCGAGTAGCCGTGTCTTTGCATTGCTGGGCCTTGTCATGCAATCAATCTATTGCTTGTCGAACTCGCATGTACACATGAGGTTACATGGCATGCGGGCGCACCAAAAGCCTCGTTTCCAACGGATAGCTGCTGACAATGTGAACGCGCGCAGTGCCATCGCAATCGGCGCCGGACAATCCCCAGGAATCCGCAAAGTTCCCCTCGAGATCTTCGGCGAGGCTCGATGAAGAGCCCGAGTGGGATCAGACAGTTCGCCCTCCCGCCTTCGACCCGGCTTCGTTGCGCCACCCTTCGCAAAATCTTGCAGAGCCATCCTCCGAAAAGACGACTCCGCTACCGCTACCTCTGGCATCACCGCGCACCCTTGGGCCTCTATCGCGATCCAACACCGGCGGGGTAGTCGAACCGCCTCTCAACTCTGCAAAGTCCACCTATGGACACCACCGCCAGACGTCCATCGTCCACGGGTACCAGCACTCGAGAAATGGCAGCGGCGCGAGCTCTTCATCCAACCCGCTCAGTCCCCAGATGATTGCAGCTGCTGGCCTGGGGCTTGAACGGATGGACATACAGGCAGCTATAGCACGCTTAGAGGGAGATGCTGGGCCACCCAGGGCCACCACTGCCGCCATACTGGCTGGGCAGGCGACAAGCCCAGGCGATGGAACCTATACGATGAAGCGATCGCCGTCTAGCAACGGCGTCACTCCTCCAGGCTCAGCCCCGTCGCGCAGAGCTGAAAGGATGCACAGCAAGTCCAGGCGTGATCACCCTTCACGGTCATCCCGCCAGCATCGAGATGAGCAGAAAACTGTGGGCGAATATGCCTTGCATGTGCTCTTTACTTCTGTGAGCTGAGCCTCCCTCTTCTTTGAAGCTGATTGGGTTTTTATTTTACTTTGCTAACTTGTGGGACGTAGTTCATTGCGCAAGCCGAAGAGAAGCTGAATGAATGTATAACCACCCCTTTCGACCCTGAGCCCCAGATTGACAAGATATGCGGTCCTGGCGTGGATCCGGCTTTCGACCAGCTCATTGTTGCCCTAGGCCATATCGCAAGTCCCAAACCGAAGAATCTGATAGACTCAATGATGCTTTGGAGGAAGAGCAAAAGCGACGCTGCAAACGAAGCGAGGGCCCAGCTGCAACAGTTACGAGTGGCTCACCCGATTCCACCGCTGTTGCGCAGAAATACCGAGCCTGTGCCAGTTGGCCCGATTGTATCCAATGGCTCTGATAGTGGTCTCTCCGGGGGCGGAATGCTAGCTTCAAAGCAAGAGTATGTGGCCCAGCAAGAGCGCCGCTCCACTGTGTCAATCTACATTCTCTGTCGTGTTCTGCTCGAAGTCATATGCCAGAGCAGCTTGGCATCCATCACCCCGGAGGTAGAGGACAAGCTAGAGAGCATAATTTTTGGCCAGCTCAAGATTGCCGACAGCGAGCAGCTACTCGCCTCGCCCCTGAAGATGGCTAATTGGAATCTTTTTACACTCCTCCTTGGCCACATGAGCGATATCAACTTTGCCGGAGTCACGAAGCGATTCATCGAAGACCTTGACAGCGCTCTGACTGAGCGTGTGACCAAGAGTCCTACCTCTTTGACAAGCCGCGATACCAATGATGGAAAGATGGATCTTGTTCTTGGAGGCATGAAGCATCTTCGCATCAAGATTTCGCCCGAGGACGCTTGGGAACAATCATGCGACTTTCTAGTTTCGTTGGGTCGTCTTTTCAACAGATCTCATGGACCAAGGGTTAAGACCGCCTTTTGCCAGATCATCGACCTGCTTCTGCTCGGAATCGCATCCAAAGCGAGCAATAGCCACCTGATGCATCCCAAGTGGATGGAAGTCGTGGCAGCCATTGGACCCCGGCTGGCTCAAATGTTTACAAAGCCACGACACTGGACCGTCGCATTCCCACTCACGGCCACAATGCTT